AACTCAAAAGCGTTCTGCTATTAGATACAAATATACGCTAAAATTGTTCTGTGAGCAGCACGAAATGTGTCAGCATGACATGGTTTGGACCACCCCGGTCTACCTTACCAAAAAACTCCCGACTCCTCTGACCACTAGATCGTTGAAATGCGGTCGTGGAACCGCCATATAGTGCAAATAGTTCATTGGTCCAATTGTTGTAGAAAAAAGAATTTTTTTTTAAAACAAAATTGCAGCAACAAGGAGAATATTAGGAAGAAAAAACAACAATTTAAAAAAACGACTCATAGGCCGTTTCGTGTTCAATAAATAAGTTTCAGTGTTTATTTTTAATGAAGAAGGTTAATATGATACTTGAAGACAAAAAATAAGCAAACATTTTGAAGTTTGAGTTGTCTGGTGAACTCATAATATTTTAATAAACACCGATAAACTATATAAAATTCTGTTCGAAAGTTTCTGTGGTGCCCCTCTTTGCTTGGTGCCCCAAGCACGTGCTTATATTGTTTAATGGTTAATCTGGCGCTGAGTGGGTGTGAAGGACAGAGTGCCCCATGACACGGGAAGGAAGTTAGTTGTGAACTAGGCAGAGTAAGAAGGTCCGGGTCAGCGGCAGAAAGCAGAGTGAGTACCCAAAAACACTTTAGGGAAATCAAAAAGCCAGTAACTGAAGTTACTGAACTGAAGTTAGCAGGACGGGGTCAGGCACAAAACAGACAGAGCGCCGGCAACACACAAGAAGGAAGTCGGATACCACAGGTAATTATAACATGCAAGGACGGCATCCAGTCGGGGTCAGTCGCAGAAACCAGACAGAGGAGAGTCACCAGGGTATAAAAATAAGTGAATTGAAGAAGTCAGGACATATAAAACTTAAATTGTAGGTTTGCCTTGTGGCTGATTCTTCACCGATCCCCGGAATAAGTAAGAATGCAATTTTATTAATAAAAAGGCACCGATTTCTCAGTCTGGAATACAATATACATTTCGCATTTATATGTCAAAGGCTGATATTTTTCTCTACCAACGTAAGTAAGCTATTTTTTCGTTTCACTTCTCCCATAGTTCAAAAGATCTCACTTTACGAATTAAGCTAGCAACATATTCATGATCATGCTTTCAAATTTTATTGGAAATCTCATTGAATCTTTTGTACAAAGCCTCCGCCACTAATACACAAATTGTAAGATTTGATAGAAACAATCCTGCCATGTTTTAAATTAAAAATTTATAATTATCCAGTTGGTTCGGATTGAATAAAAATTGTCATGTTTGGCGCAATATGCATTCTTAACTGGATAATTACTAATTTTCTCCTTTTAAGCATTGGTGGAAGTTTTGTACAAAACATCCCTTTTATAGCCTATCTGTTGTTTATGCTTACTTTTTACAATATATAAATGTGTGAACTTTTTCCATTTTTTATCCCCATATTTGAAATCCCAATCTTATACTTCCAAGTATCGATAAGAATTGATGATTCCGTAATAATCGCCTGCTTTATTTACATCGGTAAGGGCGTAGCCAGCCCAAAATTTGGCAACCCAATTTTATTTTTTTTGATATGACGTATCACGGATGCTTATTCGCCCGATTTCGCTACGAACAAGGCAAGATATAAGCAGCCACTGATATCTAATGTTACATTAACTTCCCCTTTATAGACTTATTTCACCGCCGAGTTCTCCAGGCTATACAATCGCGCATTTTTGCCAAATCGGATTATTAATTTGGAGTATGAATTGATAGTAAGCCCCAAAACGGCCAATTATCAGTGATTAGCTCTTGAATAGAGAAAAATAGTGTTAAAAACGACGCCCTTACCACTTTGTGTCTTACTTTGAATGCCATGAAATCGTTCGTTCCAAAATTTCGGATCCTTTCTAAAGCAAGGGCAAAAAATAAACACCCTCGCTACCGCTCAAAATTAAGAAGGTTAAAATAAAAATAGGAAATTCCAATTTTCGAATCCTTCCTAATACAACTAGATAAATACTAATTTTAAAACGATGCGGGCCGTTTGCGTGTAATGCGAACGTGATGACTACTACACCACAGAAACGCATACGCCGGTGGGTCATATTAAGGAACAAGGAACAATACTCTTGGGAGACTCAACAATGATCTTTCGCGTGTTAGGCGAACGTGATGACTTCTACACATAGGAAACGCATACATCCGTGGTTCGTCGAATCGGCTTGAAACCGACCCTGATGTTTTTCCGTAGTGTAGTGGTCGTCGCGTTTGCAAACGATCCCCATAAAGTGGTTCGGGCCCAGGCAGAAACATGTTTTCCTGATAACATTTCGCTCTAGCCTAAAATCTTTGACGGATCTCGTTGATCGCCGTAAAAAATAGTGCATATTATGAACTTAGGTATTCTTTCTGAGGTATTAATTAACCCTCCGTGGTAGATTTTTACTTCCTCCTAATATCTTGGAATACTTTTGAGATGAAATGAATTTTTGCTCAAACAATCGATAATGACCGAATGTATTTCTATCATAATTATCACACATTTAAGAAAATTGGGTTAAAATGGTGAAATGAATTAGTTGTTAACACATCTACAAATACAATGAGTAATTAAAGTGTAACTTCAATGGAAAGTATTGTCTGCGGTAAACTTAAAAATCAAAATTGTTGTCCAATCACCGACTTTTTTTTGCTTGATTTACGTTGAACATTATTTCCGTTGATGATCGGGCCGTCAGTCAAATGTACACCGTTTAAAACTCGCGGACAGTAGCCTATTAGATTTCATGGTGACATTGCAGTATGGCAGTTTTAGTTTATTTCACAATCTGCTTAAAGTTCTTGCAAATATGTAAAAAGTATACCACACTAAAAAAAGGTTGAAGAACACTGATCTAGACCGTTAGGGCGTGATTACCACCTTTTAAGTGTTTACTTTTTCTTGTCATTTATTTTGCCGTCGTATTCATTGTGCCTGGCTGCATTCTGTATTATTTATTATTATGTTGTTGTTGTTCTTTGTAACAGAAAAAATTCTCTTTGATTACTGGACCAATCGCTTTGAAATTGTCAGTGCTCAAAGACTAAATTTTTCGCTAAAAATCTATTCCTGTTATTTATTTCAAATATTCTAGTGAGCTGTATGGGATTCGTTTCTTTGTGTAATATAGGTCATCACAATTTGGACACTATGTGGCGTCACGTGCCCATATATTTGAACATAGATCTCTTGTTTATCTCCATTTGATTGTTCACAGCGTACTCGATTAGTAATTTTTACCCACTGTCTGATGAACACAATTGCTACGACACCGTCACTCCCAACACTACAATGCAAACCATATGCCTATTTTGTCTCATATTCTTTTGAACGATGTATAGGACTGAAACAAGTGCAGAAAAGAAACATTTCGTAAATTTGCAAATAGCTGTGCAGATTATATCTCATATTCGGTAATCAAAGATTTAAAATTCAAGATTTTGTAAATATTTCCATATTCAGCAAACGAATAATTCGAATTTTACATTCGTGATAAATTTTGTATTCAACAAACAAACATTTCAAAATCTAAATTTTGTGATGAAGTTTTTATTTCGTGTTGCAGTCCTAACGAATAACAATTCTTATTTCTACGCCATGATTATTTAAAGTATCAGAAGCTCTCTCAACTTCATTTGTCTCTTGTAACTTTGCTCAGAGATCATTATTCTATATTTTTGAGCGATGCGCGTATCCTTGCTTTCAGTAAATTTGCTTATACAAACACACACACTTTGCTCTGACTGCATATAGAAGGAATGCACAAACTCCATGTACGGCGAGCACCCTAATCCTTTTATGAGCTTTTACGAGTAACAGACTTAACATGTACTCATCGCTATATTTATCTCGGAAACTGAATGCCAAGGCCTGTATTATCCCGAAGATTACCAACTGAATAAAAAAATACGTCCATGTGCTGGTTTATATTCTTCGAGTAAAGTTGTAAATTGATGATGTTTTAGCTTTTCCTGATATAATTACGTACACTTTACCACAATTTTCACATTATATGAATTTCGAATACAATATATTGGAATGGTCATGATCACAAATGTACTGATTGACTTGACATGGTTTGCAATACGTTAATCATTGTTATTAGATTTCCTCTTTCCAGAGGTAAATAGTATCTTATGCTACTAATATGGCGACCCTGAGAGAATCCATGTGCACTGCAATTAATTCTTTCACCCGTCTCTTCTTATGAAATCAGTTTGAAATGAGCACGCCAAAACCGACTGGTAAAAATAGTACGTGGTGGCTCATGATTCAAAATTACCAAAATTATGTTAAAGCCAATGCACCCATTGAATATATTTATAACGGTCGGTTGTAAAATGGCAAATATGCAATTTATATATATATTATATTGCGTAAAAGATATTTCAAACTAATCGCTAATTTCTTCGTTAGGATTTTGTAATCAGTATTTATTAACGATATCTGCCCACAATTTTTCATTTTATCCAGTTCACCTTTTTATGGATCAAAGAGAGACTCCGTAACAAGAGAGCAAGGCTCAAATAAATTATATAAAAATATGTCTCAATTAAAATACACTACATTGCTGACTAACATGACAAAGAACATTACAAGTTTCTACATATCGTGCCCAGCTACAAACTATTGTTTTATAAGAATATACCGAACAAGTCGTTCACGCAGTTTATGATGTTTACACCAGTCAGCTAACAACACGGCACAACGACTACTCGACTATGAAAAAGTTTTGCATGTGACTAAGGTTAAAAAGATTATTATTTTCATTTATCCGAAGAATTAAATACATTTATACCAATCCGTTGATTATTACTTGGGATTTGTTCAAAGAGAATTGTTTTAAATCGATTTTTTTTATTTTTTTTTTCTTGAATATGTTAAAGAAAAATGGATTTCAAAACCTTCCAAGCACTTCGTATTCACAATAAATTCTTCGAAATGCCACAAATATTGATGACTTGACCATATACGCCTTCTCAGGCTATAGCTCAATGCGTCCGCGAACGTGGTTGACGCAGATGAGTCGTTTGTAAACCACCCTGCGACGAAACCGCCCTGTAAACCACCTGGCGAAAATGAAAATACGTTAAATAAATGAGTTTGTATAACTTTGAAAAACTCTATTCTTTTAACCTTAAAAACAAAGTATGTTAATTTAAATAAACCGAACAGTATTAACAGAAATAATGACTTAATTTGTATGGAAAAAGTGCTAATAAATAAACTCGAAATCTCTATTATGACGTTATAACATATTAGTTGTGACGTCATTGTATCAGAGAGGTATTACAATAAGCATAGCCTAGGCCAGTGTGTCTCATCGTCTAACTCTAACTAAATCCGCAGGTTGCCGACCTAAGAATATTCTTCATTATCGCAACACACTCGTTGTCGAAGGCGGCCTTGATCCAATTACTTTTGGATTGTAGTAGGCTCGTGAGATATGTTTCATGATTTTTCTTGCACAAAACGTCTCTCTGATATCTCCGATAAACATTCCTGTCAAAATCTTATGACTTTGGTGTAGGTACAAACTTGGCGATAAATGTACGCGATAATAGTAAAAGTCAGGACAAGAATTTTTACTTACATTACACGAGATGTTTTTTCAGAATTAATAAAAAACAAAACCCTGATTAGTACCCCAGGTTTGCTGGAGATGTCTCAGGGGTTGAAAAGAGTCTATAATTTTATAAATTGTAATTTGAATACATTGTGATAAAGGAGGATCAAAAATCGCCAAGCATTATTCCATCAATTTTATTGCCTCTGACAATTTCTCACTTGCGCTGCTAAACCAAATCATATCCATAGGACAGATTGATTTGAATCAATTAATCAGTGAATTCCACCATTGTGCGCATGGCGTGTCGATTTATTGTCATACGGATAGGTACGTCGTTTCAATCAAAATACCGAACATAGTCTTAAAATTGTTTCGATTGGATTTTAATTGTTGTTGATTCAAAATTCTGGAACTCACATCTTTACATGTAACTCAAACTTGCTTTAACGTCTTGTAATACCATCTGCCTAACATGCATTGCTTCACAAATTGAGGGCTCAATTCAAATGTGTCATCATACCAAATTGTCAAACTTTGCTTGAAATAGGGATATCCAACACAGCAGATTGAATATTTTACTGAAAGCAAATAAAGTAGACAGAGGATAATTTACTTCACTAAACATATTATACCAATCAAAACATACTTTTACAAACAAAATGAAATTTCAGATTTCTGTTTATTGTAAGACATTCATATTATAGCTCAATTCGGTGATACTCTTATAATTGTAGCTTTATTTTCAGGGCGATGTTAGCGATATATTTTATTGTTATTCGTGCCTTATTTTGTGATATATACTGATAAAAAGCGCTGAAAGGGTTTTTACTCAAGTGGTTTAATCAAGGGCTCACTGAAAATAATACTTCTTGACGCCTTAAATATCATAGCTGAGGATCACGAAGTCCATTATCCTCCCGATTCACATTTTCAAAATATACAGAAATGTCGAAGCAACATGCAACGCCTTGCGAATCATTTCCGTTTATGACATGGTCGTTCACGAACCAAAACATTTGCAGTTGTCTGGAGTTTTTATTTATGTCTGTACTCAGTGGTATTCATTCCATTCGAGATTAAGGAAGCAATATTTTCGCTTAATTTATATGTTTTATCTGTGGTTATAAGAGGGGAAAATGTATGTAACGTTCCCCAAAGCAAAAATCGGATTGATTGGGATAAGGTATGTAATATAATAGTTAGTAATATAGTAATTAAATGATTTTGGAGGGATTCTAATCTCAATATTCCCATTTAATAAATTAATTCATTAATTTCATTTGTTTATATAACGTAGAAAATCGATTGAACAGTCGCGAAGGCGAGACACTTCACTTGACGGACAACGAATCTTACTTTTTTAACATTAGCTGCGATGAAAAAGTAAATAGTAAACGGTAACAAGAGCGGAAATGAAAAATTGAATTATTCTTGTATCAAAGTAATAATAAATTTGCTATTCTCAGGTGGTTACATGATATGGGCTTTTACTACTAACTCCTAATCCAGATGTTCCAACCATTATCAAAGCTATTAACGCCCTCAGCGATTTTGGAATTCGACCGAAATTCAAGCTTTCAGGTTGTTCCAAGAAGTTGATTGACTTTACGGAATAAGCTAAAAGAATGATATATATATATATATACATTCAAACATTTATTCAGAACAAATTCCACCTTGTCGATGTGGTACTTTGCTCATATTTCCACCAGAATTTTGCTAGTCTGTGAAATTTTCTCGAAAGATAAAAGTACCCGGTCGTGTCGATTTGAACCGATTGGTAATTCGTCATACCGTTTTTTGCTTGGATTTTAAAGACAAAATGTTACTTGTTGTTCTGCGTCACTTGTTACTTTCAGGTCGCCTGTACAGTTGTTCTGAGAAATTGTAACGAAACTAATCAGAAAATGTCGAATGCCGACGTTGACAAGTTCCATATGTCTCATAAAATCAATCACAATTTGTGTAAAAAATAAAACAAAGCAACTTTTCCCTTGTGTAGTCTATTTACAAGCATAGCCTAATTCGAATTTCTCAATCAGATAGCACCAGCTGGTATCTGTCACACTATTTTCGTTTTCATATTGACATGGCAATTTTTTTGTACTTAACAGAACTTACAAAAATTACAACCCTAATAAAATTTTGGAAAAAGCATACATAAACGTACAAAACTATATCCAGAATCCAATTCAAAATATAAATTCACAATAAGGAACTTGTAACAATAAAATTACGTTTTAACAGCCCACCAATTTCTAAGGGGTTTGTTGTAGCTTAGTATCAATATATCATTAGTGATATATATATTTTCCGACAGAGTATTATATTTTCACGAATAACACAGTAAAGAACCTCAAAATATAGGTACAATTGCCAACATATACGTTCCACTGGGTTCGAATGCGTGTGATGAATAAGTATTGCCGAAACATGCATCCGATCGCTGGTACATATTTATGTTACCGAGTACAAGTATGCGTTTGAAACCTCTACATGTGTGCAAAGTCTGAAGGTCCGTGCAAATATCTGTAACAATTTAGTTGAATTGCAGACAAAAGTAAATAGACATTCCTAGGGGGTCATCAATTTCACCTCACATTAAATAAATATAGTTCCTTAAATATATCTATTGCAGTTTCGGCTATACTGTTTAGTTTCTGACCGAAATGGGGCAATTTGCACCACAATTCAGTTCGATACAAAAAAAAAAGTGTTTCGTCTTCTTGTTTTTTTACGCATTCCGAGTCAATTCACGATCGTACTTGTGTATGTGAAAAACTAAACGCCCACTGTGGAATGATGTTGCTTTTTGATATAAGTAAGTTTCAACATTGTGATAGTTGATAAAGTGTGCGAGACAGACAAATTTATAACTTTGAATATCCTTAGCTGCGTGCCTACATAGGATACATATTTAGTTTGGATTCAACTATGAGTAGATTATGAAATGTGCTAGCGATTTCTCCGGTAATTACGCCGTTTATACTATACAGTTAGTAACATAAATAAGTTAGTCTTGTTATAGATACCACGTAATCGGTACCTCGCGTTGACGGAGGAGATTCGATCGCAAATGACTGAAGCATTGCCTGATACTACTGCCTTTATATGAATCTGCTTGAACCCATTTTTACTTTCAATTGAGTTCATAATTTTATTGTAGTTGTTATGTGAAAGTGATATTCCCGAAGTATGTGAACTTTGATGGCGGACACCGGAACGTATTATGTGTACCAGGTTAGGGTTAGGCCATAATTTTATTCCAATTTTCCTATTTTTAGTTATATTACCAGTTCGGGGACTAGCCAAATGACTCTCGTAGTAGTTGTACATGAAATTATGGCCTAACCCTAAGCTGGTGCACATACTACGTTCCGGTGTACTGGTGAATTACTTCATATGATTTTCGGGAAATTGATGATAGAATATTTGGCTTTCATAGAGGTACACAGGTCGTTTAATAAAATTAACTGGCAAGTGTACCAAAAATGAAAATTTTTATTGCTGTTTCCAGCAACCCAATTTTACTAGTCATATTCTTAATTTCTATTGCGTATTCACATCGTATCATAACTCAAAATTCTAATATATATGTAGAATATATGACTCACTATAGAGTAAAATATTGTTCTTGCATAACAATTTATTTGATTTTATGAAGTTTTTTTGGTTTGAATCATAATGGAATATACATATTTGAGTATACCTATTCAAAGTAGATTAATAGTTTCGATCGTCTTGGCTCAAAAACGAAATCACTTCCAGGTGTTTACATCATAATTATGGTCTTTTACTGCGACTCCGAATCCTGCTGTTTAAACATTATCAGAACTATAAACGCTCTTCCACAATTTTTGGAATTCGATCTTCAGGATGATCTGATTAATTTTGAGAAGTCATATGCTCGTGATATATGCTTTTTGTTGATATTATACATCAATATTAAACGGTATGAATAACCCAAAAGTAAAAGAAGGACTATTGTCATATGTATTTTTTCATTATTGCAAAATGCTCAAGTACCAGCCAACTTATTTAAAAAATATTGCACATTTTCAACAATAATATATCAAAATATCACAGTAAATACATAGAAAAAATCTGGAATCGTTTTATGACCCTTAAATTTGGACATTTCTGGCTGTTGGCATATAAATAAATGGAATGGCGTATAAAAAATTGTAGCTGAAAGATTGTTAAAAAATTTCCAGTGAGACATATTGTAGTAAGTAAGCTCAATTTAAATAGGATTGGATAAAAACAAAACGTTCACAATTAAAACAACTGAATTAGAAAAGAGTAATAATGATAAGACATTAATTCATTCTTCACTTGCTAAAATTGGATGATGTAATTAAAGTAACGACAATGCAGAAATGTTGCACTTCTACAACGTTTCATAAGTACGAGAAGCCCCAACCAGAATGTTGGGCAGCAAATACACGTAATAGTACTTTCAGACTTAACAAAATGTAATTTTGACCATCGAAAAGGTAAACCGAAATTAAGCTTACGAAAATTTTAAGCGGAAAAAATCGAGTAAAAGGTTGTTATTGCATAGAGGTGGTAAAACAGAGTATTCGCAGTTTGGTGCGAAAACTTACTGACAAAAATTCTAAGACCATATGATGTAACGCAAAATAGAATATCGCTACATATCAGTCGTTTATTGCCCCCAATAACGGAGTTTTTTCTTCATCCTCGCTTTGATCCAATTTTGGTAAATCTTCTAATGGTTGAAGTCGATTGTATGAGAGGTAAACCATTGTAGTCAGCATACATGTAAGAAATAAATCTACGGCAAGCATAATAGGCATTCTATCTATTGTTGTCATAGGGGAAGCCCATATGGGACCGATAATTTGACCCATGCGTAATGTCACCATTCTTACTCCTTGGTTGAAAGCCTGAGTTTCTTTACTGGTAATTTTCGAAAATAGCGATGCTTGTGGAACCCAGAGAAAAGGCACCGCAATGGTCAGCATTGTTATATTTATGGCAAAAACTGGAAGTAGCCATGTTGGACAATCTTTCGGGTTACCATCGTATTTTTCTGCGTACGACAGAACAGCTGAGTAAACAAAATACATGATATATGTAGCTATCATACCAATACATCCGAATAGTACTAGTTGCCGATCCGAGAATTTTTTACTTAAAAAGCTCAAAGCTACAAAACTGGAAACTACGACTACAGACCCGGCGCAAAATAAGTAACTATTTTCTAATCCGCCCCAACCAAAAAACAGCAGGGTCATTGGTGCTGCAGCAGTTTCCAGGCCCGTTTGAGCAAACATGACAAAGAAAGTAGCAAACAGGCAGATGACAATTTCTTCTCGAAGGAATTCATTTACAAAACTCTTGACTTTCTTATTCTCAAGCATTGAGGGTGCACGTTTCGTTCTGACTTCCTCACGAACTCCCGTTGCTCCATCGCCAGATATTTCAACCACTCCATCAACAGTCGGCGTTTCTTCTATCTTTTGCCTTTTCTCATCTTCGTCTTTATACACAATTATCAATAAGACACTATGAAGAAACCATATTATAGTCATCAAAAATCCAGGAGATGTATACTCGTTGATATGAAACTTTCCAATATAAAAGTCCAAAACGTGTAGAAATATATTAAACGCTGGTCCCACTATCATTCCTATCTGTCGCAATGACATAAGGAGTGAAAACACGCTCGTACGCTCTTCAGGTGTAGTTGTCCTGGCTATCATGCCAAATATAGATGAAGCTGCGCCTGAACCAATTCCGGCAATAAGTCTTGCACCTAACACCATGTACTCATTTGTACTAGTAAAGTATAGGATATTACCCAATATTTCAAAACAATTTGCAACGATAACACACAGTTTTGTCGATCTTGTTTTGTCTGCGATTATACCGTAAATGGGAGCAGATATCATTCCAGAGAAGCTGAATGCAGCCAAGACGAGTCCTAAAAAGCTCTGTTTTGCATCGAACGTTATAAGATATCCATTCAAAGTCGGTAAAATCACAGCATATTCTACTCCGCTGAAGAAGAAAAATAGTCCCATGCAGATATTTCGAACCACAATTTTCTTGTTCATTTTGAGCTTTGAACTAACCTATAAAAACAGCGATTGATCTGTCAAAATACAAACGGTATAAAACAGGGCACTTTCTAATATTAACAAGTAAATACAGAATAAAACGTTATTGCACATCGTACTCTGTAAGAATTACAACTAAAAACGTTTGCGTCATGCGCTGATACAACACAAGGGTTTAGTATTTGCTTATGTATTTGACAAGTATATTAGGTAAAATTGTTCTACGGTTCAACATGCTGCATTGTCACCTACAGACGCTTTGAGAGCAAATTTACTCTGTCATATTCTAATAAGAAATATAGAAAGTCGTGCGCAGGTTCTTATCACATTTCCGATATGTATCCGTAGTCTGTAGCTGAATGAATATCATTCACATCATAGTTCTGTGTGTATTTAGTTCGCGTTATAGTCATAGCTCAATTAAATATTAACCCAAATATTAGGTCTTGCAACACGCACACTTTGATTTGGGTCGGGTAGATCACGCGATAGTACTGCCCAGCTGAAATTTATTATAATATTTGCGCAAAATCGAGTATGGCCCGATATTGCAGCATGTAATCAGGGCGCATTCTTTCATTGTGAAAGACGGGCAAACAATTTAGCCTCGAGACTAAGCATGTGATTATTTCAAATATTTTTGCTCAAAAGATGTTTAGCCCCAATTCAAAACACGTGGCAAGATCTGTTGTGATTGCATTACTGGCAACTGTGTAAAAAACAGTCTCATGTCCTGTTAAGGCACGAGGTGAACCTGTATAGATCGAACTGCTAAATTGTTGTTCCTGTTGAGGTTGTTGTGGAAATCACGTTCTTTATAACCACGCGACCAAACGAAACTTCTTTTAGAGCTCCATTGGAGTCCAATGGAGCCCGAATCCAAAAGTCATTGCATTTCTCAGTTTTTTTTAATGATTAATAAATATTTTACAATACTAATTTAGTAAGGTTTTTGTAGCCCATGCCCTCACACTCTCATACATAAAACAGACACTGTAAGGGTTCTATTTAAATTTATTGGGGTACACTTAATAGAATCCCAGGCTAACGTCGATACTAGATGCAGCGTAGGCAACAGCTTTTTCGTAACGACAGCACAAAAGCATAGTCAAACTTACGAATTTAAGAGGCTTTATAGTGTAATATCTGTATAATCTCAGCTGAAATATCCAACCCGATTTTTCGAGAGTTGGATTATTAGAATCGGCCAATTTTAGAAACATTATCATCGCGTTGTTTCTGATTAAATACTATTCTGTTTTGCAGTGCAATAACATCATGACGATGTACCATATTAGATAAAATTATCGTTACTAACCTCAATTTTGAGCGGTGTGCGCAAGGATTTATACCTAAATAAAAAAGAGTAAAAATTAAATAGAACTTAAAAATATAAAATTCTGTTTTTCCAGATCCGCGTCATTCAAGTTTGCATGAAATATTCTCATGCCATCGAATAACTGGATGGAAAGCCTCGTCTATTTGTCAATAATTTTTTTACTATTTTCTATTATCTATATAATAAGAAACGACTTTTTCCAAAAATATCGCAACGAAAACTCAGCTTTTCATGAGTAGTTAGTTCTTCATAAATACCGATAACATTTGATAAATAAGTTGCTTCAGGCAAATTAAATAATTTTAACAAGCAAGTTGTAAAATACGTGAATGCACAGAATTTTGTGCCGAAGGGCAAGTTCACTTTTGACCATTCTAGAAAATGTTTGGTGGTACATTTGTTCTATTGTGAAATTAGATTTGTAAAGGAGAACAGGCAGCAGATCATATATAAATTGGTCATTCCGTACACCCCGGCAGCTCGTAACTCGCCAGGAAGTGTAACAGTAGGTTCCAACCTCTAGGCAGGTAACTTTAAAAACAGATTGTGGTATGTCGGTAGCCTATGTTGGACAAAATAATTCAATATCGATATAGGGATGAATTTGACAGTAGAAAGTAACAAGAGGCATTTTAAACAAGAAACGATATCAAATTATAATGCCAGTGTGAGTTGTAATTAAAATTACAGATGAGCATCAAACTTAAATTCTTAAAAGCCAAATTCTTGGCTTTGTCATTCGATTATTGTTGCTTTTTACTAAGTTTTCAGTAATGCTGAAACACTTCATTAAATATATATGCGCAACTGCCGGTATTCAATATGTGTTGATCAAGGAGGCTATTGTTCTAGAGTTGCCTTTTCACCCACATATTTATATATTAGCTGACTCAATGAAGCCCGGATGTTCAATGTCTAGGTTATGGCTAAAAAACAAAAAGAAGGGCAATACGTATTAGTGCACTATCATGTTATCTCCCCTCCGCCAACTCTTCGGTTAGAATAATTCGGTTAGAATAACTTATAGGTTAGATGATTTAACCATCTATATTTGTCTGTTTCATTAATAATAATTTCCCACTAAGATATACAAATGAAGTTGCGGCAATCACCTAACCAAACTTATAATAATCTAACTTCAGTGGCATTAACCGGATATTATTCCGGGGTAGATGCATGATTACATTTTCATGAGAACAGTTGACTATGGTGTTTTCACTCACTCTGTACATATGAAATTATATACGCGAGCGTTATGGCATTTTCAAAGATTATAACGCTAGTCCCGATGGCTGCATCCTATGCCCACCGTATCACCCAGTGTTTAATATATTGAGTTGCAATCCCCAAGCACACAGATTTAAATTCGTCCGAAAATAGTGTCATGTTATGTACCAGTGGCTGCTTGTCTATAGCGTTGTTTGTCGTTTCTGGTACAAACTCGCATTTGAATAAAATAAATAAACATTGTCCCATAAACATCTACAAGTTAATCCACGTCAAATGTATATATATTATATATATTGCGAAAGTGTGATTCTCGTATAGTTTAATAATTAGCGGACTCTTAGAGACTCTCTCGAAAGTAACGCACGTTTATAAAAATATTTTAACGTCAAAACAATCTGGTTTAATTGGATACATTATGTACTATGACTATATACCTTCATTTTGATCTCAAATACAGTGGGGCATTCGACTGTTGGCTTCATCAATAAAATAACCCGGCGTTCACGTCAATTTTGGGGAGATTAAGTTGTGCTTTGTTTTAAATATGAGATTGTTGATTAAACACATATATGGCTGAAAACTAGATTTTCATATATACATGAGATAACTAAACCGTGTTGTCGAGACCGATTTGACGCGCATTCTGATTTTGAACTACAGACCTTCGTGCGTTTAAGTTCATTGTTTTCTCCTTACGATTCTTTAATCATAAAATTTAATAGCAAATAAATTTTAATGCCAAATCCCTTTAAATAACACCAAGAAGTGTAGTAATTACCTACACAATAAGAGCTGAAAATGCGAAATGAATTAGGTCAAACCGTAAACAAACATTTAAAAACAATTGGTATTTTGAAAAGGGGGACTATATACATTGTACATTATACGTAATGATAAGATGTTATTGCAGCAGACTATCAGCAACTATTTAAGGCACATCCCATTCAATTTGAATTCATGCAGATTTTAGCTTTCAGAGATGTACGAATATGGATTATTTTTTTGCTGAAATCGAATTGTATGGCCTGTCTTATGTGCCTGTGTCATTCTCTCCGTCGGATCTTGCATGAGCTCATTCGCCCCACTTCGTCTATGAGCGAAACATATATACCAGTATTATCAATTATTTTTCAGATAATTACTAATACATTATAATATTATAGGGAAGAAAATTCCAGTTTTATGCTAGAATGAGGTAAGTCTATTTTCGAATTGTTATTCGTAGCGTGGGTAGTGCGTAGTGATAAGTTCAAACACCCGTTCACGATTTTGGCTATCTTTGAACCTAAAATGGAATATTAGGTATCTACCAAATTATTCATATAAGTTTAAATTTGTAAATATATATAACTATCAGTCAGACTAACTCCCTATCCATTCCCGATGGCAACTGGCAAATGACTTATTTTTACAACAATCCTAATAGTATTACTGATACAGACTATGACTGATAGAATATGTTATGATTGTTGTCAGTTGCTATTCTAAATGTTTTCCAGGTCACCTTTGGTAATTAATAGTGTTTGCTCTTATTTTCGTCCATTGTCTTTCGGAAGACTCGATACGGGTAAGAATTTTACTTTGCGAAACGTTTCGACCTTCACTTTACATAAGGCTCTGGTCAAATAACCACTGATACTAAAAAAGCAATTATTCTCCCGTTCGGTATTACTTAACCCGTCCTGGTTGATGTGCTTAACATGAGATTTTTTATTCAGAGATCTTTAAATTGAAACCCCAACCCAACGCAGTTCGAAACTCAAACAACTATGCCATCGCCAGATGTAGATGCGAAAATCGATTAGCCGATGTAAATAATGAAAAATTACATGGAGTACTTAGATATTGTACATTGAACTGCAGGTCATTTTTGTTTTCATCTACTTCCTACTTCGCATCCGTATGTGGTCGTTGACACAATGATACTTAAACAAGATATTAAGAGATAAATAGGAATAATATTATCTTTTTCCATAAAATAGCAAGTATATTTGTTAGCTATCGTTAGAACATAGTCAATATCTGATAAAACTGCAAAGATAAATATCACAATAATTGTCGGGTAACGAATTTGTTTTGTCTCAAGAAGTTTTGTCACTGCTTTAATGGAAGAAGATTAATGCAATTCTATTCGAAATCGTTCACTGATAATTTGAATTCCCATTTCATGGGTATTACGCATTTTTACTAATTCAGAATACTGTGAGTATATTTCATCTTCCATGGAATATATTAGCACCAATGTGGGTAGATAGACCCGGAATGATGGCGATTGGGAATTTTTGGGACATGAATTTTTTCAATAATGATATTCGACTTAAATTAATTTCTTCGGAGATTACGAAAACAAACGCAGATATTGTCACACTGCAAGAGGTGGTTTTGGTTGATCATTTTCTATTTTATCTTGTAGTTATTTTTTTTTTCATTTCCTTCTCTCATTTCTTTCTTGCTCTTCTTTCTTTTCATATGTCTTGTCTCTTCCATTTCGCTTATTTTCGAAGCCAATACTGCTCTTAACAACACTATTGTCGATTTAATATTCATTTATTTATGTCACAAACAGTAATTTTTTGCAGGGCCAGGCTGAAAATCAAAAAACGAATAGGGGGCCTACCGCGGTATTATAGACCAGTTGCGTTCGCACCATACGAAAATAATTATGGGGATCCTACTTGTCTAACGACACAACCTATATGTTGTAAAATATTTTAATCTACCGAACTGACTGGTCTGTAAGATCTTCGCTGGGCTTTACAGAATTTTTTCTGTATTCATATAGACAGTATGATTTTTTCAGGAAATTGTTCCATGGTCGTTTTGCCCAAATATTTTTATTGTTGTTGCCTGGAATGCGAAAAACACCATTCTCTCCTATAGCTGGAGCGTTCGCTATCAACTTATCAATATTTAGAAGAATATTTAGAGTATCTTATGAGGCTAATATGTTTTCCCGTATTTATGTCAACTTTTATCGCGGTTCCCGGCTCTGTTTTGAGAAATTTTTGGAGAAATATTTCGAGAACGTGGAGTATGAAAACAAACGTTCTCATCGTAAATTAACACCCAACTCACGTATATATAACCTGCTTACTATTCTCAGGAAACGGAGTTGCCATATTTTACAAATGGAAGAAGTTTTCACTTGTTGGGCACAATACGTTTCCAGTCCATCTGGAAATGTGGCTCTAGCTTCAGTTCTGAGGCTAAAAACAAATGCATATTCACTAGAAACATCTCCGAGGCAAAGAGGAAACCCAGTTATAATTATTAATTGTCATCTGGAAACTGGGTATTCGGCGAATCAGATCAAAGTTAGAGTCAGTCAGGTAACCTGAATGACAGCAAAAACTCTCTTTCTCGAGTTGCGTGTCACCATCCCCATTCTATGTAGAATAGTCCATCAGTCATGAACAGCATTGTGTTGTATTAGAATAAGCACTTAATATATCAACACAATGTTGACTCAAAAATTGTTACTCTGGCAGCAATTACAAGATTAAAGTGTGAATATAATTATTCGTGAATTTGAAATCCCGGTGATACTAATACGACGCAGAGTCACATCACTGTTTTTTGTTTTTAACTCGAAGCTGTTTTAAGAGCCTTGTAATGATGAAAGAGGCGAAGAGGATATATACAGAAATCAAAACTAGGTTTCCGACTTCTATTCCAAACGTTATGATTACGGGAGACATGAACACTGGAAATCAGTTACCTGCTTCCACAAGTTTTCTTGACAACATATATGTAGATGTTCTACTGGTGAGTCAATTGAGTCTATGTAATACCGTCTCGGATACAAATGTAACAATATATTAATTAATATTCCATTTAAAACAATTAACAGTGTATCAATCTAAAACATAATGGAAGCTCGCTCTGGTCAATCTGCCATACATGTCATATTTGACAATTAACTGGAAATTGTTATTAGAATAAAAAACATATCATAAAAATTAGAGCAATAATAAATATGCAAGGAATCAAAACATGAAATTCAATTGGTATTGATATTTATATAAACTGATAATTCTTGAACTAACCGGAGAAATTACTAACATTTCGAAAGAGAACATATTATTGAATTTAAGTTGATAATTTTAAATATATCTTCTTGAGTATAGCATGTGACAAGTTATCTTTTTGTATTTCATAGGAGTCTGGAACTGGAACGGATACATTTTTCTATCCCGTACCATTTCTTATTCCTGGTTTGGGAGTTTGAACTGAAATTCCCATTGATCATAGAAGATCAGATACATTCATACGTGGGTCGGACATGACAAATGGATTAATCAAAATTTTATCCGTCGTGATACCTGATATTAAATCTGATCTTCTAAGTAAGATTTATATCTATTTGCATATTTGTTTTTATTAACTTTTCAGTTGAACATTAAATAAATAATGATACAACAAGTATTGGTGATTTAATTTAAACTAATATGTAAATACCTCTTATGCCTAATAATTTTCCATAAACATAATGGCTAAAATTGTATGACAAATTGAAATACCTAACAAATCAATAAACCTAATTTCATACTCGAAGTCGAATATTTTATTTTCAATTTAATATTTTTAGATAAAGAAAACTACATCGAAGTCGAGTTAGAGGATACACCAACGGTAGGCAAACCGCGGCCCGCGAGACACATGCGGCTCGCCGGAGTTTTTATGCGGCTCTTCTCGCTGGCAATAATTATATATTATCCAAACTAAAAGAAACTGTAGCGTAACAGTTTTTTGTTTCTTTAATTTATTAATCGTTTGAAGAATATACACTTTGCAATATTGTCATTATACGTTTGTGTAAAGTTCTTTTCACTTCACGGTATTCTGATACAGTATTATTAATTTCAAAAATTATGCGGCTCTCACATGTTTCTGTCTTGCGGTATGCGGCTCTTATACTAAAAAATGTTGCTCACCCCTGGGATATACCAATGTAATCAGTTTTCTCCTGAAATCTTCACCATTCTCAAATTTATAGGAAATATCGAAAGAGGGATCAGAATATGATACGAATGTCAATCGTGTTTTTCGAATGGGATCAGATCATTTGCCTATCTTGATCGAAATCGACATAAAACTATAAATATCTGTGCATTTTTTTCATTTTGCTACTATATTACGAAACAGAAAAATGCGCAATATATTCTACAGTTCGCACGTTGATCCTGTTTAATACGTTTTAATTACAATTGGGTTTTAAAAGAATTTGAATGTTTTTTCCATGAAAAATTGCATTTGTTGAACACTCTTTCAAAGTTATCTCTGTAGCTCTTCGTGATTTTTTCTGTTTCTCTACTGTTTCTTTTCTCTCTCGTTTTATCGGATTTAATATTATTACTTTGAATGAAAATATGAATCTGAAGATGAACATAAATATTTTGACTGTCAGCATAGGTTTAGAATATCATAATGAATAGTGTTGCTGTAGTATAGGCGGAGCTGTGTTTCATGAATCAATAGTGTTAAGAATTATCGTCTCTGTATAAAATAGGGAAATCGCTCAAGGTAACTAACTCATTTACATGGGAGTGCTGGGGTCTAAAGTCGATTTGAGGTATATTTTTAAAGTGTGAAGATTTTGAAAATACTTTCACATCTTAGTTCAACAGAAAGAATATATAAAATGAGAAATATATAAAAAAAAAATATATAAAAAATATATAAATGAAATATTGAAATGAGTACTTGCAATCGAGTCTGCTCTAATAACTTCTGCTAAGTCAAACCGTATGGCGATTAAAGTAAAGGTAAACTATAGATGGGCCCGGAAAGAAATTTGCTTTTTAAAACTTGATTTTAAGTGAAAGATGATAATTTTTAACACTTTAACAACTTGCCATAGGCCCTATCATTATATTGTTAGCATTGCAAACATTTTATATCCACTTGTTATCAAAACTGGGCAAAATGTTAAAAAATAATTGAAATGAAATAATTGAAAAATAATATTATAATGATAAATCGCAAAATGAAAGTGTCCATGCTCGTTATATTGACTCAATACGGATTACTTTAGATTACAACATCCGGATATAAATAATTGAGACTACACCCACTGTATTGTTGTAATGGCGCTGTAAGTGCATACGAACGACAGCGGAATTTTCGATAAAAATCGGTAACTATAAACGTGCTATTTTGATCGAAAGATAAATTTATTTTACCATAAGTTAGAGAGAACAAATTTATTATCAAAAGATTGAAGTCGATATAATTTCTAGAGCATAATGTGTATTAAATGAGACTTAAGTATAAGATAAATGAAAGTTGAAATGAGTGATTAAAATTTCAGTCTTGTTCCAGTTTTATATCATTATGCTAATCGTGAGAATCCTTTAAAATTGACAAATGACGGCGTTCCGTTTTTGGTAATTTCCAAATCCATCTACGTTCGCCGCCAGGCACTCATTAGAACGTGTGATAGTTCATATTTAGAAGAGCAGAAAATTGTTTTAATATAAACAGTACTAATTAAATATAATTAGAGTCGATTGGCGACGTCTGGCGAACTGTGGCGCAGAAAGCATGAGGTAAGAGTATTTGAAACGAGCTTCAAATTGAATATTCCTGAAAAATTGTTTTATTAAATTTTGTTTTGTTTGGGAGGGTAAATTTGGCAATATCTTTTGATCACTTTTGGGGATGTACTGAAATAAGTAGAAAAAGATAGATGTAGAATAAGTTCAATTTTTTTTTTACGAAAACTGAATTAAAACTTGCTTCAAAAACTTTTTAAAAAAAGTTCAATAAAATAAACTTAGAATGTGGCCCAAAAATTAACGTCATTTTGTTTTGTTTCTAACTTTAGGTTTTCAGTGATATCTGTTGTTATAGTTTGGATGAGTTATATCGTCTGCGGATTAAAGGTATTTCAAATATCAGAATATTTGTTTATATTTAAAAGTTGTAATAACCATAGTTAACTAAATTTTTTTTTTAAGTATGAATCGAAACGTTCTAAAGCATTGAGGCTACCGCTAAACAATAGCAACAAAGATAGGTAAGTCATTTGGCACATATTCAACAATAACGTCAGGGTTAGATATTACCTTAAATTTATTCAAACAGTTCGGAAGTGGGAAAATGTAAACTAAAATCTTTAAAATACTAAATAATATTTATAGAACGCTGCGAAGCCTTTTTAGAACATTTTCTACATAGTGCTCCACACATATTTTCCGAGAGTGTGAGTTATGCATTACACCAGAAAGTGGAACAAAACGTGTCGATACGTCAGAAATAACTAACTACAAAGAAGTGAACATGCTGAGTAAAAAAATCGTATTTTCTCTCAGACATCAGTGATCAAATCTGCAGCGTACCTTGTCGCTTTTCACTTGTCGAATGCAACGTTATCTTGTCCAAGCAACTTGTTTCAAAAGTGCGCTATAATAAGGGTTATATGTTAATATGAATTTCATATTTAACAACTTGTTATATGATATAAAATACTGGAAGATAGCAATTATAGTTTACAATTTCGTGTTTAGATTTCAACTACTGATGCTGCTTGCTTATGGGTCATCGCATTACATGAAAAATATCGAAGTGAGTGAAATATTATTACAAAATTATACTAAATTTCCTACTATTTTACTAGTTTTATGTTCACACGCCTATAAGTGGTTGACACGACGACAAGGTAGATTTAAATTAAGATATCTGAAGGCGCTTCCATTTAGACCTTAACCAACAAAAAGAATTTCAGTAATGGAAGTGACCGGACACTCGTACAGCAATTCCATTTGAGACCCCATGGTCGAATACCCGACAAATCAATTTGTAGTTGCCCGAATGCACGGCAGTCAAAATATAGTTGATCACCCTACAAACGTTTTAGGGTTAAACAGAGTTACTTGCTATATAAGCCATAAAAATGTGTTATACTACCCGCCAAAAGGCCCCAATTAGACCTTTTTGCTTCGTATGAAGACGGTATTAGGTGAAATTTTTCTCAAAACCATAATATGCACAAGATCGGCTTCTGCAGAGAAGTCACGTGAGCTAACACTCTAAAACGCTTATGATTTGAGTACAGCGTGAATACCTGTGTTTGAATATTTTGTAATTCTATCACCCAGTTAAGTGCACACTCTCGTTACAAGATAAAGTCTAAGACAAGGGAGACTTCTTGTTCTTCAGAATATAAAAATTGCCCTATACTCCTCGCGACTGAAAACGAATAATATGACGTCACATTTCCATGTAATATGAAATAATGTATAGAGAGCGTTGCGATCTTCCATTTATCATATTATGCTCCGTCATTTGATTGCGGTGATTCTCAAGTGGTGGGACACGCCAATTTTTAGAGATGGCGCAGACAATTTTTGAGATGGCGTGAAGCTAATTAAAAATGAAAAATGTTTGTTAGATTTGATCTTGCCCGCCTTTTAGGGATATTTACAATTCTTTATTTTAGATGTTTATATATGTTTTGAAGAAAACTACGTTCGTCTTTCCAGCTTATTGTTAGCTAGTTATTTTAAAATGGCATGGCAGTTTCTTAAGAGGGGGCTTAAAAAGTTTGAGAACCACTCTTCTAGAGAGCCTAGACTAGTTGCAAATGACTCTTTTCATATATATTTCAGTTGAACAAGGTAGACGAAATCTCTATATTAACGTGGAACGTTCTAGCACCAATTTGGGTAGAAGAAGACAAATTGAAAAAGACTGGGATTGTAGACATGAATCTTCTTGATATTAACATGAGATTGAAGCTGATTGCTCATGAAATATTAAGAATTGATGCTGACATTGTTACCTTGCAAGAAGTGAGTACCGGGCAAAAAAATGTCCTCTGTGTCAAATACACTTTAGGAAAATATGTCATAATTTTAATTACAGATCCGTCGTTTTTGTCCAAGTTGGACTCACAATACTTCTAGTATATTTTGCACATTGTATGAGCGCTGTAAATATCCAATACCAGAAAAAAAGTTTTGTTTTCTTGGTGAAATGTTTCGGATTATTGAGTAACAATTTTGCACGTTAATACTTTTTATGAGTTCAGGAATAAATTTTAAATATTTTTGCAAATTGTGTGTAATGAGGCACAAAGGTGTTTAATCACATATCTACCTCCGGTAATCATATCTAGTCCTGTAATCGGAAAACGTGTACATTCTACATCTTTGCAACCAAATTTTGACTTACAATTTCAACTTCTTATATCCATCCAGACACAAGATGACACTCACAGAATTATTTCCAGAGCAATTCGTGATGTATATTCAGAAATACCTCACACAGCGCACGGAAAAGAACACTGGAAAGAATATGTAGAACGCAGTGATACCTACGTGGTTCGTATGATGATAATTTTTGTTTGAATTATTTTTAGGTTTTACATAAATGCGCAAATAGTTTCGCAAATAGATGTAATTTTGTTTATTTTTACTTATAATAAATTTGATATTTACCAGCGGATTAATTTGAATTGTTGTAAATATCTTTCTGTGTTTTTTCAATTTCGGCTTTAACGAAACATCATTGGTTTTTGGTACATATAAAAACAAATGTGATAAGTCTGCTTTGATTGGCGTAAATATTTCTCCCAGTTGGTAACGATGAAGCGAATAAGATTATAAAAATAAAATGCAAAAATTATTTTCAGAAAAATGGGGTATCAACGTTTTACAAAAGGAGTAAATTTGTGGTATTATCAGCGGAAGAAGTTCTTCTTTCTGATAACAAAAATTATGCTTTAGGAGTGGTATTTAGAATGAAAAAAATGTCACACCAAAAGGAATCGTTGATTGGGCCACCAATAACCGTAATGAATTGTCATTTACAACACAATGCAGAACTAAAAGATGCGTTGCTCAGGAGAAGACAAGTAAGTTTTTTCCATCTCTCTATTCAATCTCCCTCTCTATCTCGCTCTCTCTTTTCAATTTTCTGAAGCCTCCTTTGTATGTTTGTTTTAGGTACATCGCATGGTAGAATGGGTAACAAAACAATACAATGAACATGAGAAAAATTTACACGGTAAACCATTGACATTTTTGTCCGGAGATTTTAACACGGATACAGGATATCCGGCATGGCAATACCTTACTTCCCTAGGATATGTCGACGCAAAAACCGTAAGTTTATATATTTCGCGATCCTATTTTAGAATAGCGTAAGTTACGATATAGAGTGATTTGAATAGGTCATTCATTACTCAAAGTCAGTGACTACATTTGCCCAAAAGCTTTTGTCGAGGCCAAAAATGAGGAATTTAAATTACTTATTTATAATAATTTTACATTTGTAACATTCTCCAATTATCTATAAAACGTTATTTTGAAACTTGATGAAACTTCTGTATTTTGAGTTGTCAATGTTGTTTTAATTTACATCTAAAGTATATAAACACATCAGTATTGGCACTTTATGGTAATTGTATTGCAGATAGTCAATATATATATATATATATTATTTACAGCAAAATGTTTTTGTAATAAAAAGCTTCTCTGATTTTCTAACGTAGTTTTGATGTTCGGAAAATAAATGAAACCTTTTCATTTTTTTACATCTGTTGCCATCAATCATGTAGTATATTTCATCATTTTTGAATACCGATAAAAATTCTATGCTTCATTTATCGTAACTGTAATGTAACTATCGGATTTATTCATTCGATGCAGTCGAAGTAGACAAAATATTGGTTATGGTAACCTACGATAAAGCGGATATTTTTGTTGAACAGGCCCTGAATGTACCGGACAACATATTAAGCCTTTTTTATGCAACTCCACATGTGTCAAAAGTTTTGAATCGAACTTTCGACGGGATATTTCTCGATCGAGTATTTGCAAGGAAAGATGATATCAAAAGTGGCCGTGTAGACTTTAAATCCCTCACTATTCCAAATATACTGGCCGGGGACAGGGGTAAGAATTTATTGTCAATGCGGCTTCCCAATGTAGTATTCAGATTTTAAAAATTTGAGTGCAATTCGCAAGACGCAAGCTTGTCGGAGACTATTCAATATTTTGTTTAAACGAGAAAGCAATGCTTAAATATAACAAAACGAAAGCCAAAACAGTGTAGTATCAAATCTTTTGCAGTACCCACAATCTTTCTTATTTTGATTTCGCTGATCCGGTTCGCTAATTAGCCATAGCGGAACCGCCGCATGAGGCGCTAATTGCAATTTTTTAGAAGACATCATCACACAAAACTTCATAGTCAAAAACGATTTTCGTAGAACACACGGATTTTTTTGAAATAAATGGAAGTCTAGATAGACAAACTTTAAAATCGACTTATATCGTTCACGATTTGATTCGAAGGATATGATTTAAAACTTTTTATAACTAATAATAAAATAAATAGTAATAAAACTTTTTTTTATTGTCATAGCATTTTTGTTTTTCAGAAGAAGCAGAACATCATTTGAGAGCGTTGGATATTTTGTTCAAAAATTTAGGAGATGAAAAAGCTAATTTCCGGAAGGATGTCACTAGTTTTTTGAAGTTGATGTCATCTCGGTCTGATGGCTCCGAGTATAATCAATATTTAAACCGAGCGCTTCGTTCGGGTTCTGACCACCTTCCAGTGACAGTTACATTTAATTTGAAAAATTAGTTTCACACCGTTGATACTTCACCTAAATTACAATGTTTTGTGCTCATTGACGCTCTCAGCCTTAAAACACAACACCTTCAATACATTCCCGTCTTTCGAATAAAATTGTTCTCTAAATTTATTTTTCAAGTATACGCATTCATATATTTTAGCATTGATTCATTGCTATAATATATTTAATGCTGAATCAAATAAAATTATAAAACGAAATATGTTTGGTTCTAGTAGGAAATTGACAGAATTTTTGCCACATAAATTTATTTTTCAGTTTTTTTTATACTAGTAGAACCTCCGCCCTTAGTACCAAGTTCGGTCCAAATTAGAAATGAATATATTCAATATTTAGAGGCAAAAGTAAGTAAGAGCCAACTTACTAGGGTTGTTATATTATTTTTTAAAAGTTTTTATATTTGAGACTCCACCACACTTCATGTCTACAAACGTCCAGGAACGGATTTCTTAATAGCCAACTTCAGAGGGTTGAAAACGCGGAGTTTGAACTCCAGTTCATCCAGGAAATATATATCGTATGATTTGCCTTTTGAGCGCTGTATTGAATCTAATCCAGACAAGGAATGAATACAGCACTGGTAATGTAGATTTTGCAAAAGCAGTTGCAAAACCAGACTGTTTACTTTTTTATGTCTTTTATTAAGCAATTAGGTTTGCATGCAATAGAACACAATGTGCACTGAATGTAAAAATACTGTTCGTGTTTTATAGCAGATAGCATAACTATACATCCAAAATATAATATATATATATAAAATCGAGTGCTTCATTCGAGCTCTATTGATTAGATATCCTTTTACGAAATGACCATTTTAATGAGTTCAACATCTCCATTGACGCTGATGTTACGTATGTCTTTCAATGGACCGATTCTCTTATTATAAGTGAAAGCAGCGATGCCATTTATGTCAACATCGAAACCATGCTTTTCAACTATTATTTTTACCTGCGAAAGAGAAGACACATAGAGTGGAAGTGTGTACTCCGCCATTCGGCCTTAACCGAGAGTAATATATATATTCAAATTGCTTAAAGGAATTTTTGCAATAGAACTCACCGTAAACGGAACGTCTTTCGCAAACGGAAACGGGAAGTCCAAATCCCGTTCTTCAGTTCCCCATTTCTTATCCAAAGTATTTCTTACAATCTCGCGTTCATTCAATCTTGGATTGAAATGAAAATGAATTTTGTCGCCTTGACGTAAATTGACATCAAATCTGAATGACATTGAATAAATAAAAATGTACAATTTTAGTGAAATGAAGGAGAAGAATTTTGCACTGATTGAGAGTTAAAATAAGTGAAGTATAGAGGGTCGACAGATTACTATGAGACTAGGAGCTCATTTTTTATTTTTTTTTATTTCAACGCAGAGCTCTATTTTGCAAACTTTCAAGTTCCCCAACTTTACCTGCCGTCGGAGTTAGTTGGTTTTCCATAAATGGTGACGGAATGATTTCTGATGTTAAAAAACGGAACATCGATATCCAGTGGAACCGCCTAAAACATAACCGTTTCAAAAGTTTAATGACTAAAATGAGGAATAGTTTGAGTACATCAAGTATAACAAAGACAGAATTGTATTTGTATATCAAAACGTTCAAATTTTAGCTTTCACTTTGAATCCGGTTTAGTGGTTCAAGGTTCTCGATGCTAACGATTTCTATATTTGTAAAATATTGGAAGCTTGCCGCAATCACTCATGGTACGTCAAATATACTTACAGGTCCATCCAAGACTCCAACGGGGACGTCCTAAAAACATAAACAGGAATATCTTTAAATAAAAAACGTATAGATGAAAGTACAAAAAATATTCCTACTGTACATGAGCTTCTGTATTAATCATAAGCTACCAATTGTCTTCAAAGCCGCCATTCAACTAGATGATAATTAATTTTTATTGAAGTTTTCATAATCTGGCTAAATACTTTAAGTTGAGATGCAACTAAATAATGACAACGATTTCATATCAAGTCAAACAAAAAGACTTTGAGACACTGTAGCAAATAATGTGCGGTGCTATTTTGACTCTGGCCCGAATATCATTTTTAATATTAGGTATATGATAATTAAATGACTATTTCAGTTGAAACATAAACTAATACATAGCTGTGCTAATGCTGAGAACTTTGCGACCAAACCAAATTAGGCAACATGAGTTTTGAAATCGGCGGAATGGTTGTGGAATCAGTTTTATAAGATTTTATTTTCTGTTTTACCATTTTACTCACTCTGAACTCATATGTCTCTCATAGTCAACCAAAATTAAATTTTGATCGTATAAATGACTTGTTTCTAATTGTCATTTGAATTTCACTAACTTCTAAATAGATTTCCTTCATTTAGTGAGTTTCTCAGAATAAATTCCAAGAAGTTTGCAGATACTTAGAACATTTAACACAAATCTTTATTGTATTTCACTTACCTGGCCTTCTATTCCAGAGCAAATAAGTTTGATGTCACAATTTTGTTCCACTTGAACATGGGTTATAAGCTTCAGAGGGATACGATGTTTGTATGTTGCAAACACTTTGTTCCGATTGATAAAAATCTAAAATGCGTTAGAATTGTTTCGAAAAAGTTTTTTTAGATTTTATCATGTGGAAAAAGTATCCAATCGTCGTTTTTGATTAATCTATTGATATGGGTCTTGAAATTGATTTCAGTACACTTCATGTTAAAATTCTTCTCCCTGGCAACCCTTTTCCAGTTTACGATAATACTAATACATTGACCCCTGACCCAAATTTATTTATTGGAAAATTTTTGATTCGACGTTCGTTTTCGCTTCTCTTTGAATGCAAGACAACATAAAAAAAAATGGATTTTAAATTGATATTAATTTGGATTTTTCAACAATTGAACTTGAAATAAATTAAAACATTGTCTTTGTGAGGACACAATGATTTGATTTTCATATTTTTTATATTATTCATTCATTTTGAAACAAACCTCGAAGTGCTCTTTCAGACAAACAATCCAGATTGCGAATGGTTTTCCAGGTTTTTTCAAAGGAAACTTTTTGTCTCTTTCTTCTTTTCCCCAACCCTGACTATCCCGGGTGTTTCGTACAACAGTTTTTTGATCGAAACGTGGATTAACATGTAAAGCAATTTGGTCATCCTCGTCGGGTCCACACAGAAGATTTACAGCAATTCTAATGGAAAAATTAATAAAACAACTAACGATACTAAATTTCTGTGGCCTGCAGAAAAAAATATATATAATATAATAATTCTATATTTTAAAAATATATCAATTTAGGAATTTTATAAAATCTAATTTTTTTATATAAAATTTTAAAATCTAAGATACATTTTTACCACAAATATAAGAATTGCAATTCTTTATGACATTGTGAGAAAAACAATGTTAGTTGTTCTGTATAGGATTTGTATATTTCTGTATATTTTAGTCACTCGGAAATGAGCTAATGACATACAATATACATCAAACAATTTGAAATTCAATTAAGATGCTGGATCCAAATAACTTTTCAGCGTATCGCGACTTTTTGTTCCCTTTTTCAAAGTCGTGTATAGGAAATACAAGTCGTGCATAAGAATATTTTAAAGTTGACATAATGCGTCGCCACCGAGTAAGCAATGCAAAAGTTGTCATGGGTCATCTAGGGCTGGGCCTTTTGAATAGAGTATTCGAAACAAATATTAAATTATTCGAAAAGGTTCAGACCGAAATTTCGAATTGCCGCTATCTAGTTTTATATTTGGCCGCACGCAGGTCGAGGTGAATCCTTCAGTTGTTTTTTTCGTAGAAGCCATATTTTCAAAATGTAATTTGGACATATGACTCTTGTCTTTTTCTTGAAGTAAGGATGGAACATGTTTCTTATGTCCCATACGTTTAAATATCTTTTAAACATTCGATTCAATAGGAAAAATATTCGATTTGATTCTGAATACAGTAGGTATTCGAAAATGCCCAGCCATAGTGTCATTTCACAATATCTCACCTGCCCTTGTCATCTTTTTGAGATTCTCCATACACATAAATTGTCTTTCCAATAAACATTCCATTTATATCAAATATGGCCCCAATTTCCTGTAAAAAATTAAAATCAACATGAGTTAAAACAAAACTATTGGAGCTTCACTTTGAAAAAGTAATCAAACAGTTACCGGATTAAATGCTGCTTCCATCGCCATGATGAAATTGCTGTTTTTGATTGTAGGATATGTGTTAAATAAGGAGTGAGTTACTTCAATATCTTCTTACTTATATATATATGGTATCTAAATCGACCTAAACTATGTGAGCAGAAGTACTTTCGTGATTACAAACACCCGTGAGTCATTGCCATTGCTCTTAAATTAGCGTCGTTATTTCTACTCATAAACTCTCATGCGAATTATCAATGTACTCCTATAAAACAACCTATCACTTATACCTAGCCGATTCGGCACAAAAACGCCAATTGAATGGAAACGTGACGAGCAATAATCTTTGTTGGTGCCCTTCGCTATACATTTCTATACCTATTATCGGCATAGCTTCATTCGCGTAAATACGAAAGAATATTGGAGCTAAATGACGCACACAAATAAATATACAACAATTGGAGCTAATAAAGTGATGTATATCGAGTTACAGAAAAGACAAGGAAGCGGAAACAATGAAAATTTTTTGTCCTAGTCACCTGATAATTATTTGACACGACGTGGACGTATGGATTGTTTTGTTATTAGGATAGGCCTACTGTTATTGTTAGTATTTATCTTGGTATTTTTCTTCTTTCTGCTGTCGTGATATCTTTCTCCTCAAACCCAATTGTATTGCAATTTTCAGTGGTTATAGATCGTGGTTGAAGCTAGAAGGCTACTTTAATTCATTTTACAAATTCCTGTGGCTCTATAGGATTTGTTTCTCAGCCTGGGGCATGTGTGATGACATCATTAAAATTAAAAATTGCGCCCATGTGAGGGTTAGCGATCGCATTCAGCCATCTGGTGGTCAGTTTACCGGTACTGAAAAATATTTCATACTGCTTCGTTTTGGCTTTCGTGTTCATATTTTTGAGCATTTCTCTCTTTCTCTTTACATTGATATGTACTATATATATTTACCATATTGCATAGGCTACTGGATGAAAGAGTTGGCGCATTTTCGAGTGGAATAATTACATGATTATGATGCGGCTGAGTGTCCGTTATGGCCAGTCGTACGTCTCTCTCAGCGCTATTTTCATAACTGTTATCATTTCATGTTATAAACATGGCAGATGAAGCAATACATTTCGTGACGCACTCGAAATTAAATCCCGACGAACTGCTCTAAATTTTCGAAACAATGTAATATATATAAACTTACAACTTCTGTACGCACGTAATAAATAAATGTATAGTATTTGTTTGGTAAATGTATGCAATGGTATGATGAAGTGATCAAATTTAGGATTTATCATTATTGTACACATACTAGACCTACAGATATAGTAATTTTTCTCATCGTGAAAAAAAATACAGAATTTAATTTGTACTCTGCAAAAAATTTATGTCACCCATGTTTAGGATTGGTTCGAATATAGATTTTACCACTCTCAATGTTGATATTGTGTGCTCTTTCTGTCCATAAAACAGATAAATGGTGACAATCGACGGTGCCATTGGCTAATTTAATCGCATATCTCTGTGATTGCGCAGGCTATCGGCTCTTTCTTGTAGTATGCGTGATTTTTAATTAAATAATAAATCGCAAAATAATAACATTGCGCTCCCGTATTTTCGAACTACAGTTGAACGATCGCGCACACATCTCGGAATTGCTCGAAAGTTACTTTACTCATGGTTACCTGGACTGTTTCTTTTTAGCTCATTAACTTTTCTTTCGTAGCTTTAACTATTATATTGTAGTTAATATATAAGCCACTCACGCCAAAACTAATCGGTGTTTACGGCATTTTTCTAAATCTCTTTATTTTAGCGATATTTATTTCCTAAAAAGAACGCGACGACAGCGCAATATACATATGCAGCCATTTAAATGATGTACAAACACAGTCAACTCAACATTTAAATACTGCAATTCAAGTAATGTACATATACAGCCATATTATTTACAAGCGAGGACCCAAAGATGTTGAATCTACTTGTTAAGTGCACATAATTGAGTTAGCTGTATATGCATAGCTAAGCATATGACATTGGTTATGTATGTATATTGGGTTAGCTGTATAGTAGTTGTCTGTATATATATATATACATACATATATGTATATTTTCGACTTGAATGTATAGAACGTTACCAACCCCAACGAATTAGCTCGTCGACTAAGCCTTGGCACAGTCTTAGTATAGATAATAAAAAACTTTTATCCTGTATCCAGGGGAGGTCGCTACGCTACCCGCGAGGGGAAATGTATAGAAATATTTTTAGTAAATTAAGAAGCAGATGTTTGTTTGAAGTTTGTTGGAGGACCCGGGTCGTTGCGCCGGACGAATGGCGGAAATTCGTCCGGCGCTCTGCCCCCGACCCCTTCAGTCCATTAAGAAGTTCAAATACCACGTAATAAACTGATCACCCCTAACCGGAGTCGAATTTTTCAATTTTAAGGTCCGTGATCACTCAACCGTGACGAATTTTTTTTGACACAAACTAGACCTCAACTACCTTGTATGACCCAAATATGGCACCTCTACCTTCTACCATTCTCGAGATATACCGTAAAATCACTGGAGCGTGACTGAGGAGATGAGGAAATAAAATTTCTTCCAAAATAGATTCATATAATCTTTCTTAACATGCCCATGCCTTCACTTTCCTAATAGGTCCTTTCAGAGGCCTGCAATAAGCCAAAATCACTAGACCATGACTGGGGAGTGAGAGAAAAAAAATTTCTTGAAAAAAGTATTAAACTAAACTTTCCCAACATACCTATCTATTTTATTTCTCGATAGCTTCATTTTTATGTGCGCAACCTGCTTACGCCACTGGAGGGCGATTGGGAGGGGGAAGTCCCAAGATTCAGATGGTGAAATATTCTATATATTAGTCCCTTTGAGATTTAAGCATCACTTTGCCCAAAAACCACTTCCAAGTGCTCCTAATAGCCCAAAAACCATATTACATAAGTGGGCGTGGCTTTCCACACCTTTTCTCACCACTGGGGGGGTGGTGGCACTGCCCCCACCCCCATTTATACTTGGAAAAATTCCCAATACTCGGGCAAACGCTTTCTGGCCCCGGAAACGGTGCTAAACGGCCTCTAAACCCCAAACTCACTCTTGCGTGACTTGATGGACAGCCGATTGACCAATCAGCAGCCTTGGGCCCCTAAAATCCCGTTTTGGCCCACTTCCTTTGGCCCGATCGCTCCCAAAAATTTTCTGTGTTCGTTTGGTAACTACCTCCCGCTACATGCCAAGTTTTGGCCCGATTGGCCCGCCAGTTTTCTGGGAAATGGTAATTCATAGGGCCTTAGCCACTAGACTTCGTCACATTATTTTTGCTCTACGAGCAAAGGCTTTCGACCATTACTGTGCTTTCGCACTAAAGTGCTACAAGTTTGCCTGACCATCGAGATGACAGAAACACTAAAAATTACAGTTTAGCATATTGGAGACGAATAAAAATAAGCGAAGAAATTTTAACGTTAACCACTGAAACAAATATTACTGAAATATTTAACAATTTACATTAGTAACGCACAACACGGTAATTCACATTTACACTTAGTAGCCTATGCCTCTGAAATAACACACTACAATTCATGTGTCGTGCATGTACATATCTGAATTTTGATTATTCTGTAAATTTTGTACAATTGTGATTACCCTGCAAATTTTGCAGAATACAAACCAACACTCAAAAGAGCGTTAAGGAATAAAGTAACACCAAAGAAAAGGTTTTCGTCGATGTAACAGTGCCTTGACTGCATGTAGACAACGGCGTAAATCGCAACAAAGTATATACAGTGGATGACTGTATCGAACGCGGCGCATAAGATTTTTGTTTCTTTGTTTACCGACGTTGCAACTAGCGCGGATCACATTTTTCAATATATGTCTGATAAATAATGTTCTCATACTGCCAAGCGACTTCCGGCCGATGGTTTATGCGCTAAACGAAGCCCTTTCCTGTGACAACCAATCAGAGACGAGAGTTTCTTGTACGTCACTGAAGTCTGGTATGTGAGAGACCCTCAACCGAAAATCGAAATCATATCGCCGCGAAGGCTCGCGAGTCTGGTTGCGCTGCTCTTTGTCTCGCTGTTAGCGTGCGCCACGTTTCAGCATTTATGGTTTTTGAACTTTTTAGACTAGTTTTTAAGACACTTTAATTGAGCGAAAGTTTTATTTTTACTTTAGTTTCACAATATATTTAAGCGATAATTTCTACACGTCGATACCTGAGTACCGACGAAAACGAAACACGTTTGTAACTGTTTAAATATTTCGGTATCGGTTCAAGAAAAACTGAGTTTTTTTCGATTGAGAAAAGACAGTGGGCGTCAAAATTTTAAGATAAATATTCGGGAAACGTTAGGACACAAACGGACTCAAAAAAGTCAAATTTCGAAGAAGAACAGAAACGATGATGCACGAAACCATAACTGCCTGGCAAATGCCTAATGTTCGAAGTCCGACGGAAAGCGTTGACTCGGGAGTAGAACTGTCTCCGCGTACCACTTCCGCTTATAGTTCGTACGATAATGATTGTAGCCAAATATTCACCGAGATCCCTTGCCAGGGGAGTCCTACATACTCAAGCGGAAGTGCTGGGTCGGTTGCTGAAGACTCGCAACAGAGATACAGCACCATGTCACCTGAATATACGGCGACATACTCGCCGCCATTAACAGAAGGAGAGTTGGACGCTTTGAGTGATTGTTCCGAATTGACATTTTCGCCATGTTCTGCTGAAAACACGACCGAGCTTACAGAAATTGGACAATTTGGATTTCAACCAACAAATGAACTTGCAGTTCAAGCCACCGGGTATCATCACCCAGCAGACGTGAAGGCAGAGGGTTCCGTAAGCCTAAACACAATAAAGTAAGTAGTGCTTCAGTGCACGAGATAATAGTCTTTCCGTTTCCTTTTGGCAACAATCTAAAGTAAATTATTCAAATTGACTTACCATATGTTGATTTGCCTAATCTAGAAACTGATTGCTTACTCTGAGACAAGTCACTGTTAGTGTTGATCTAAGGATAGGTAAGACCTGCTGTCGCGACTTCGCATATACCATACTGAATAAAAATTAGTTTTTCACAGCAAATAACTCAAAAGAACATGATTGAATTGATTTATCTACGGTTATGGCCTATGAATTGTTTTATAGCAAAATTCAAGGGTTAAAGTGAAAAACATTTTTCTACGTTAAGTAAACTTTGGCATTCGTTATGAACACTTTTATTTTGAAATATGAAATCCCATATGTTGTTTGCTTTCTTTACAGACGTAAAAGAAGATTGAAAGCTAGGCAGATCGGGTTATGTGAAGCGCACCCCGGCGTCGACCCTTGTTTAGTGCCCAAAAGCGGAACTGCTAAACCACGACAGAGCCGAAAACGTAAACTCGATCAAAAAGAGTTGCCTATGGCTGGTGGACAAGGTAAGAATATGCTTGAGATAGTTTTGAGTCGTGTCATGATTTTTTAGATCGCCCATCCCCAGGGGGCAATCGAAAAAGTATATATCAAGGATAAATTATAAGGAATAATTATTTACATACATCAATTAATCTGATCACTAAATTGAGATTGGGATTTTTGTATTCAGGCGTGACAATGAACCCGAAAAGATGTTATTCGGGAGCAAGAGTGAAGATAACGGCACGCGAAAAACTTCAACAGCTCAGAAGGATGCAAAAGGTTATTTTTTTTACTTGATTCAAAAGGTTTTGTATGAATAAACGTTCAGCTCAATTACCTCAACGAGTTTTTTTTACATATATAATCAGAAAAATAAAAAAAAATTGGACCATTTTGGATTATCATTTTTATTCATTAAATTTTATTATGATTATAATGGCCAAAAGGCGCTGAATAAATATTGAACCATTTTGAATCTTGAGTATTTCAAATGAAACATAATTATTTTTCACAGAACAAGGGTATGCTGGACACAAAACCTCTAATCTCCCACAGCAGCGGTGAATACATGTCGCCATCCCAGCAGTCCGGAACATCTCAAATCCAAGCGAAGGTTGAACGACAAGTTGCTACCAGTCAGAATGAATACGGGTCGCCGTATTCTTCCATGTATGCTACCCCGCAATCCAGCAGTTGTAGTGTTAGCAGTATGAGCCGTTCATACTATCATAGCGTGGAAGAGATTTTGTCCAATACTGCGCTTTACAACCCTACAACATCCCATCACGTTCGTCCGGAATTTCAAGGTATTATTTATCTTTCGATTTTAGTCAGGGGTATTATTGTGCATTTTCAACCCTACCTACGGACAATTTGAAAAATAATGATGTAAATATATTTATAAGACGTGACATTCTTAAAAATGAGATATTTAGAAGCTTGGAGACAATAATGAGCAGTAGTCATTTGCATACAGTATCAGTATATTATTACAAATTCCCTTTGAAAAAAGCTCTCAGAATTATGAGAACTCCTTCTTATGCAAATTGAATAATAATAATTCCAATTATTTCTTTTCATTTAGAGAGAAAAGACAATCTCGACCAAATTATTGAACAAATTCCGATGCTGCAAAACATCACTCCCCTGAAAGAATATATTGAACAAGCAATGTCATCTTCAAACCGTACTGGACAGGTTAGTCTACGTTCCTACAATATTCATGTTATTCTCATCTTGGATCGTCTAATATTAACCAACATACTCTGTCCTCCATTGTCCTGTACTATAATGTAATTAGTTTGAATGTGAAATTCAAGACGCACGGTGAAAGCAAATTGCCATAGTAGGCTTTCATGAACCTAAATATTATGAATATATTTCTTTTGAAAGGAATTTTATTTTTGATCATAAACCCACACAAACGTATTTCAATTACTTGTGTGATTTTTGCAATTCGCGGAATTTTTACTCGAACTTGATTGACTGTTTGTTGACTTAATTCTGAACCATGTTATCGCCTCTTCTAAATAACCTATTTTCAAATTCAGCCTTTCATATACATTTGATTGATTATCTTGTAGAAATGTGAATAGGTAGGACACCTTTTGTTCTGATAGAGTAAATTTACCAAGGCTTTGGAGAAACCAAAGCACAAAATATGTCGCCAGTTGTAATCGAATACGTATTTAAGAATTGTTGTTGTTGCGTAAACTTTATAACTTTATCAGGCCGATTGTTGTAATAATAGAGCTTTGATTTTCTATCATTTGTGTGCACTTTGGAAAATATTGTAAAATTAAGTTGGGGTTGGAAATAAATCATATTATGTTATGCAAATACTAATTATAAATTGAGATTTCCATCTTTTTAGTAACACGTAATAATAGCGCTTGATGCTTCTAGCTATTGACAATGTGGCATTGCAATTACATAAAAGTATATTTTTCTTGTCTTGAGAACATCTTTGTCAAATCGGAAATCATTCATTATCTTGGGTTGTTTTCGATCTGTATCGACAACGTCCTTACCATTTCCTCGTCAGTTATAGAATTCTGTGGGTGGTCTTATATAAACTAATTGTGGAGTACTACTTTACGGACCATATAAACATAACTTACGTCTGCGACTTGTATCCCCACGCATTCTCAGGTCTCTTGTACACAAAAAACACAAATCATTTGCATACTGCAGATTTCTGGATGTGTATTCTGTCTTCCGCCATGACGTGAACCTAGATGAACTTTTGTATGAGTATAATTAACTGATATGTTTGAAAAGAAATTCATACTATCTTCCATTGTTGTATTTGACCCTATTTTAAAAAAAAAAGTATTTCATTTATCTCAATTGCCTCAGAAAACTGTGATATTTAGTACCGAGCCGTATGCTGTGAAACATTAATTTCAAAAGTTCAAACTGATAGATTAATATATCAGCTTGTGCCAGTCTCCATGACAGTTCGCCAGACGCCAAGATCAATATTTGTAAACATCATGCGACATTTTAGCAAAGCGCCAACATGGCTGCAATAGGGTGCTGTTTTAAAAAGAAAATATTGATATACAACGAACCACGCTATAGTAGTACAATATCCGATCCTGACAAACTATGTATTATAACTTTTTATTATTTGCAAAGTGTAGCGTATTCGTGGCAGTAAACCAAGGTATAATCTTTCTATTCAAGCTGAATCTTCATGCCAAATATTTTTGAAAGTGAGTGCCGGTAACTTATCTCTCTTGGAAAAAAATTATAAACGTGTTTGCGCACCGCCGTATTTACTAGAAGTCGTTTTAAAAAATGCATTGATTTTGGCCAACGTTTCTGTTATCGATCTGTATAGAATTTCTTGGAAAATTTGACCAAATTTCTATATCTCAGTACGTTGTATTATATTTGTATACTGTGATACTGACTTGTTTACGACAAATTTAATATTTCCCCAAATTGAAACGAAAATATCCAAAATATTATTCTATTTGGGTTGTTTATTCGAGGTTTTTCTACGAAAAAGTATTTTTGATACATTTCGCGTTATTGTCTTATATTATCCATTAGTCGCACTGGATCAGTAGTTGAATATTAATAGTGTTTATTAGTTTTTAGTTAAAAATGAAAATGAAAATAGAGCTTCCTGGTGTTGTTTTTGCGGGAACTGAAATAAACATTCTTTTTGTCAAACCCAAAGATTCCATATTAAAATACTGAATATTGTTCAATTCCTGTTTCTGAAGTTGCCACATGATGCATTATCAATTCATACAAAAAATATTATTTGTGGTATCCCGATAAAAAAGTCACTCTCTCATGCACATCGATTGTGGCAATTGCAAGTTACCGAAGACTTTAAACGTTCGTTTGAAGTGTGCGTCGTAATTGGCCTGTCTATTTATTTTCGTGCTATAAACTGTGGGTTTTCTTAAAACAGTTTTCACCTTAACTCAATTTAATTTAATAGAAACGATCTGACGTCAATCGTGACCTTTTAAGAAATTCGTTAGTGTCGTTTAACGAAGGACATTTTTGGACGGTGGATGCAACGTGCTAGTATTCCAGTGCATGTAAGACTCAAAATATCAGTGGTTAATCATACCTGATGAAAACGCAATCATAAAACTAAGTATTCACGTCAATTGCGGGTATTTTTGTCGCCACTAAATGAGTCTTAGAACAGCCCATGTTCCGCGGTTTGCGTGATTTTTACTACCTTTCATTGGAAAGTTTTTACACTCGACAAGCGCATTTGTGCTTTGTTCAATTACTATATTCAACTATGAACGTCTGATAAAATTGGCCCAGTTCATCGCTATGCGATATATTAAAAATAATAGAACGGCGAGAACGCCTCGCTTGAACTAAATAATTTCGACGATTTGCACATGTTAAAAAATTCATGCTCATGAAAAGCCGCTCACTTTGTTCAGGCTTGGTTCAAAATCTATTTTTGGACGAAATTACTTTTTTCGCTAGAAATAAAAAATAAGAAACTAAAAAATGCGTTTATTAAACTTGTATTTCATACCGGGAAAGCTCATTAGGCGATTAGCGTACCGCCTTCGTGCGTCACATGTCTGCTACGAAATGAAGTAAATTTGTTACCTTGATCAATAATTTCAGGTCACTCGAACTTAACAATTTAAAACTTATATACGGCCTTGTTTAAACCTTGTATAAATCTATAAAATGTACTCAAATACTGTGGCACAAACTTGTCTAGACATAATGCAGTATATGGCGTTAAGAGACGGAAATATGGACTTGGCGTGACAAGATACCGATCCCATCTCCATCATAAATAAACGAAAAACAAATCTCGCGATTATCTTTGTTAAAGCCGAATAAAGACAATTTTCTAGTTGCTTTCAAAATATTATTTCTTATTCTTATTTCCTAATAATCACTTTACAATGGCGGTAGTTAAAACGATTGATCATTTGCATAATATAATATCAAACAGCAGAAATATTCGGTAAAAAATAACAGATGAACTTTATTTTATCATTTCGAATACTAAAACAAATATTTATTCAATACTAAAATACGCTGTTCCGAACAATTTAAAACTTTACAATAAAATAAAAGATCCATGTATAATTTACGATCTACAAAACTTCAGTACTTGGAATTTTAAGTAAAGAAGCCTATGCTTCAATCATCGTTCGTATCAGCAGTATAATTTACAATAAATTGACCTGTAAGGGCTTTTGCAGGTGAACAAATAGAAAATGTCACAAAACAATGTTTGTGATACTTCAGCAACGTTTTAATATGTCGCTAAGTTTCTAGTCTATTGTTTGTCATATTTTTGAACAAATAGTGTTGTTGAGTACGATTAAAAGACAATGCGAACGACAAGAGGGATTTTAATATGATGAAATAATATACTCGTGTTCTGCTTTCGGTTTCGCCAAGATATTTAATTTGTGAAGACTGAATACCTATTCAAGCATTTCGGATATAATCGAGACCCTTTTCATTATTGAATCTATCAATTATTTGATACTCAGCGAAATTCTCTGTTTAAAATAACTGCCAACTAAACATAGCTTATATATATTCCGAATTATGTTTTAATATGGAGAGTAAAATCTAATTTTCTATTGCTTTTATTATGTGAGTTTCGACGCCTCCACACCCTAAATGGGATTTACCGTTCTCTCGTAAGTAAATTATTGACGGAAGCGAAAACATGGTTCGTTGCGAGTGTATATTAATAATTAAAAGCGAAAAGTACGCCTACCGATATGAACTGAAATGCCAATATGTAGTATAACTGGACCAGTTATGACCATGGATGAATTTAGCGTGTTTAAACTTGATTTTATCATAGCGCGAACCTACTGCATTTGTAAGCTTAAAAATTGAAAAGAAAACACTCAAAGCTGCGATAAATAGAATGGATATGTTTATATAACAGCGTCGTTTTGTTCAGAGATGGATGGTTCTCTGTTGATACGGAATATATAAATATATATGTATTGTGCTATCGCTATGTAAGGATAGGTATTATCACGAATGCACAAACCCGAATGTTTTGCAATCGAACTCGAGATGAGAATATTATCCATTATCCACTTCGGCGTTATTTATCCGAGGCGTATTTGGCACCACGTGGTTCTTATAAAGGGTGATATTTCATCATTTCGAAGCAACACCTAGGCATCTTCGTTGTAATAGAGATTCCTTGGTCGAATTATACCGCGTTTTGGGTGATTTCCAGCGCGGGCGAATTTACCCTACCAATATACTGTTTCGAATTCCATGCATAATTCCTTGAAGTGATAATTTGAAAATTATAGTACACGAAACCCCCATGGATTATGGATTATATAGTTACTTAAAGTCAAGTGGACTTGTTTCCACATGAGTGTTTTAATACAGGAGTTTCTGTTTTAAAAATATGTCGGAGTTCCCCTTATTAGATCAAATTTTACTTCCCGAATTCGAAGGGATGTCATCAATCAGCGATTGTGTTTTCGTCAAAATAAAAATTTCGAACCGAAATTCAATACAGACTCCTAGGTGGTAATGGGGGTTATACACTACATCTGGTTTTAAAATTTTCGACGGCTGGTTTTCTTAGTAAAGCCTTTTCTTCCTTTTTTTCGGTTGTGCCTGATTGCGAATAGTAAATAGTTTCAGCTAATTCGACTAACTTGAATCTTTCATTTGTTATTAGCCTTCATATCTTTTGTGTAGATATAGACACAAATTTTGATTTCATATTTATTGCATAAATTGAAATGCAGTTAACCACAAATTGAATAGTACTCAGTAGTACGACAGAGAAACCCAATTACCACTATTTTTTTTTCAAGTTTGATTTTATATCTATTGTGTGCTATTTGCCTATCAACACTTGGCGTTCATCTCCGGACAATATATATTCAAATTTATCAGAAAAACAATACTAAGGCTTCACTTACTTTCCGCATACGCAAGACTTTGATATTCGATGCCGAATAATGATTTTTTGAACCATACATGATCTGTGAATAAGTCCCACTAAATGACACGAGTTATGTACACAGTTTGTTTGGCCACGCTTGAAAACTATTGCTTAAAACACAATGGGCTGATGTAGAGTAAAATCCTTCTATGCTTTCGTCGCGTCAATCAAGATATCTAATACAATGGACTTGTTTTGTATATTGGAATATTACGGATTCACATTCAATGCATATGAATGTTGATATTCGACGCGCTTCGCGGACCATTAGATGTATAAATAAACCTCTTTATTTCCCTCAATAATCTCCGTATGTTGACTTATCTTATTATATTATTTTGTTTAATTAACTAATTTTTCAATTCAATTCTTTTACTATTTGTTCTGAAATTTGCATTTTATTTATTGTGCATTTAGACTCCTTACCATACCATATTGAACAAACTGAATCAGAAAACAGAAATCTACAATGTTCAACAAATCAAACAAGTAATGGTAAGTCGAAATATATTTTGCAAAATTTGAGTACTAATGTGCATCGGGATGGCGATGCGAATCTGTGGTCTTTCAATTTTTCACAATGAATCACTGATATTCTTGAAGTAAATATAATGAGACTACCTATTATAAACAAACAATGGTCGAATTCTAAGTATATCTCAAATGATAATTTGTTAATATTAAGTAGGTAATACACCCTGCAGATAGAATAACCTAAATGGGAATGTAATATTTCTTGCTACTAAATCATAATGTTTACATAATAATACATTTTTTTCTGAACAGGAACAAGTATGCCGTGTTTTGCCTGGAGTTATAAATCGAACAAATTTGAAAGGTAAACCGATTAATTATAAGATTATATATATACAGTTTATCGCCAATGTCAAAAAATAGCTATTTCGTGTCTAAAACCGAATTCTGAACCACTAGATTACGTAGGTACTACGTAACTTCGCGTGTTTTATATTGTTTCAAATCGTCACTTCAAGAGAATTTTTTTTTTTTTTAATCCGTTTTTGGCGTTCAATTATATCATGCAGAATGTCGTTCTGCTATATACTTTCGGGTTTTGAAGGTCATGTGAATAATTACGCTATAAAATTTCCCACTTTGCCTTTAAGGACTCTTGATTGAAGAAAGACGTCAAAAAGCGCTTGACGTATAACAAAAGTTGGAAATTTTGAAATCTAAGTATTTCATTATCCCGATAAAATTTTTGCTTTTGAAATAGAACGAATTTTGAAGCCAAGATTCCCGGTTAAAAATCGTTCCTTGATTTCTAAATGAAAACCTTACACAGCGATATTACTTTTAAGCATTTCAGTCCGAACCCAATATTTAATACTTCATTGCAAATTTCACCAACCATATTTCTACGTACCATTCCATTAATTCTACCTTGAATTGTTATTGGCAACGGTCGAGAGAGCTCTATAGTAAACTTGTTTTCGCCACAGTCTTCACTCAAGCGTAACAATGGAAAAATACAGGAACGCCGTGTCGGAATATCGCTTTATAAATAGCGTACGTTTGTCTTTTTAGCGTGCGCACACATGTAGCCTTTTCCTAACATTGGGAAGTATGCAGCTACATATAGATTACGCATGCACTAACACTGCGTTTCATGTTTTTTCAAGCGGAATACATTCCTGTCTGTTCTCGGCACCGCACTTATTAAAATATACTTTATTTAATTAAATCCGGAACATTGAACTAATTATATAAATTATGAGTTATATAAATTTCCAGCTCCTTTGTTTAAATTCTTATAGAGGCGTGTACTCTACTGAATTAATTAAATTACATGGTAAAAATAAACATTACTCTTTCATTGCAGGCGAAACTCCCATTTATTTAGCTTCATTGTACGGAAACATCGGGGCGGTCCAGGCACTAATGGAAGCTGGTGCAGATCCATGGATTCAGGTATGATATGTCGATGAGTATTAACAATGAAAATAATACAAATTGCCAAGTATAAATTAGATATAAATAATGTACGATGGTCAGAGATAATATAAGTGTTACATGTATTTAGTAATACTATTATAAAATGTATAAATGACATCGTTACTCCGGACAAGTGACAGATTATTAATCTTTTATTCTATTTATAATAGTGAAAATAATCAAATTTAGATAGGGCATTACCCTTATATTCTTTAATTAATAGCGGGAATTTCAAATCGTGGTAAATTACATCAAACCGTTAATTTGATTTGATTATGATCCAAGTGTGACGTGAATCAGGTGAACCGACCGATAGCTGTACCGGTAGGATTATAACCTGTTATGGGATTTGTATGCGGTGTGGCCCGCAACATCCGGTCGGATGTTTTCCACTTATAAAATACCAAAAAAAATCCGATCTTATTATACTCTATTAAACAGGTCATGTTTAAAATAAAATCAGTTCAATATATTCAAATTATTTTTCTTCAGCATTTAATTTCCTAAAAATTTATATGCCTTTATTTTTTACTTCGACACGGAAGACACCTCAAAAATTTGGTGTTCTCCAATGTTTCCGCATCCGGGTCGTCGTGACGTCGTAGTCGACCTCAAAACATCCTATTAATAAAAATATGATGGAGCATTTCCCTTTCCCTATACTGTTCTTATTAATATCATTTGGTGATTGGTATCCAAAATCTACTTACACTATCCAGACAAAGCCTTATTGTTTGAAGGGGCGGTTCACTTAAATTACATTATAAAAAAGTTATTATTAGTGGTTTGTTTTAACTCCAAATATAGGTTTTCAAACAATGCTCATTGTTAACAATGCATGTGGGTGTTTCGAACATATTCGTCTGTGTTATTATCGGTTGCAGCACAATGGTACGCAGTATTGCCCCCAGGATATACAAAAACCTCCATTATCCCAAAAATCTGATTTATTAACAAACCGATTGACGTACATGCGAATTTTTTGCCTATTTTTAGATATTTCAGGTTTTTTGTTGGCTTTTATGAATGTAATTCATTTTTGTCTGCACCGGATCTTGTAACAATCGCATGTCTGGACGTCTGGGCCTCTCATTTTTTTTTATATTTCGACTTTCGATACTAAAAAAATTAATGACACACGACAATTTTTCTTCTAGGAAAAAAGCGGTGGTGAAACAGCTCTCATTGCCGCAGTAAAAAGCAGGAACGCAAGCACAGTTGCAATGATTCTATCGAAACGTGAAGACCCTAAACGATACGTGGGAATCAATGCTACTTCATACGACGGAAACACAGCTTTACATAGAGCTACAGGTAACTACCACCGACAGTTCTCAATAGCCAACTATAAAATTAGGCAGATATTAAAGTTAATGCCTCTACTTGCCAAGATTTTAAATATTTTTAAAAAAGCAACCGAATAACTTTGCCTCTGCGTTCATTTTTTCATATTTTTGTAAGTGTGGTGGCCTAGTAGTTAAAGTGTTAGTCTTAACTATGATGGAATCGCAGGTTAAAATCCCGACTTCGAATACCAAGCTCACCTACTCACCAATAGTATATTGGATTGGGTGGGTTATACCGAACCGGGAAGATTAATTTCCTTTCAAACTATTTTATTTTCTTACCTAACTGTGGCGGCTTGCGCAGAGCTTTGCTCGGAGCAGAAAGGGTATAAAAAAAAATGATTTCTTCAAGTTCAGGCAATAAAATAGAAATTTACTCGGCCTGTTGGCTGGTGCATTTATATTTGTGGTTGCGTCTGTCTACGTTCTCTCCGCTTAATTTTGCACTGTTTGGCACTGTTTCTTTCTGATTGAATATTATGCTATTGGCTTGCTCCGTGATCGAAACACATATTTTGATCTTATCATTTTAGTCTGATGCACTAATTCCGTAATTATGTTTCCCAGAATAGCACTTACATTATTTTTTCCTTTCGATTTATTATTTATCATTAGGATTCATAAATGTGAAAAACATGCGACGTTGCGTAAGTCCTTATTCAGGGAGGCCTGCACTGTAAATTTAATTTAAATTTCTTTATTAATTTGAAGGATATTATCTGTAAGAACATGGTATTTTGATTAATATTTTTCTCACGTTGTATAAGGCTTACTAAGCAAATTTAGATTTTGAGTTATTCACACATTATAGAAAGCTACTCAAGGCATTAAATTAAGTGAGAAATAGTTTTGGTCCACAGAAATAAAATGCAACGTGACTTCCCGTGCGTCACACTTACGCATCGGGGTGTCGTAACATGTTCCATTAACCATAAATGTAGAAGCAATACACGGATGTACGATTAGTTAATAGAAACGGGATCGATATATATATTTGTTGTTTACCAAACATGGCTTCGGATATATTGAGTTTCATTCCACGTAAAACCTAGTCGCTGTAAGCATATCGAATTGGGGTAATGGATTTTGTGAAATATAATACAATATAGTGATTTAAAAAAAAATAGTAAAAACACCATGTCCATATATGCACACTGTATATATCATAATCACAACACGCACACACAAAAAAAAAACATAATTTTCAATATGATTTGCCTGTAATTCTGCATTTTAATATCAAGTTTATACGACATCTGTTCTCTGACTCCATAGTATTTATTCCTATTTTTGTATTTTACAGCTCTCCGCGATGTTGATCTTGCAGTTCAGAAACAAATTGTTATCAATTTATTGGAAGCGAACGCAGACGCTTCGATCAAAAACAATATGAGTCAAATGGCACATTCTTTCCTGCCAGACCAACTCAAAGAGGTAAAATTCTTTTTTTTTTGTTATGAAAAAAAAGTTAATCAAATGGTTTCAACGTCATTTAATATGATGATCTATAATATTCAGCATGTTCGAAAAATTGTTATTTTTCAAAATTTCAAAATTTTGTCTAAATAAATTAGGAGGTAAAAGTGATATTTTGAAAAGAAAATCATCTGAAATTCACATTTTATTTTCCTGTTTTCAGCTTCAAGCCGATATGAAAAAACTCAACGGACGTAAGCGAGCACAAGCCCATCAAATCATGTCGCCTCTGCATGCGGAAGGTGCTGTTTATGGTCGTTCTTTCAATTCCCAATACTCACATGTTACCCCCGAAATGCTCCACGCCCATTTAACCCGACCCTCCAGCAGCTATACCAGCCAACACGCTCGTTTATCCTACTCCTCTTACCCTCAACCTCCTAAAACGTTTGCCCCGTCTACAACTATGTCTTTTGGACAACTAAACGCATTTGCTACAGGTCAAATCCAGCATCCAGCACTTCCACCTTACGTCCAGCGCACCCCACAGATCCCAACTACGGAACATCTGCCGCAGGATGTCGTCGACGAGTTTTTCCAGAATCTCCCGGAAGTCCCACCGGAAGCTTGAAGTGACTTTTCTTTTTTCTTTTTTTACTTCTTGCGTGTAAACGTGAGAGAATTCTCATCTTGATTTTCCAAGATTTTTATTTGCGAGTTGTCACAATTAGTATTGCATGAACTCCGGTCACCACCTATATCCGGTAAAATTTGAAAAACACCTGCCATGGATATAGCATTTATTGAAAATGTGAAATATCCATAGGCCGAATTTGGCGTCAATGATAACCGGAGGTCGACGTGTATGGGTTGGAGTAAAATAGCAACATTCGTTGAAGTTACTATTTTACTGCGCTCCGTACACGCATAAATTGTTTAAATAACACTTTGAGTATTATTTGTGGCTACTCGTGGATTGTTTTTCGTATCTCCCTTACAGGGTTGCCTACTATTAGTGTGAGCGTGATAGAACCAAAGCTGCAGTCTATTTTAATATAGATTTCATCACTATTTATGATAAAGATTAATTTAAATCGTTTAATATCAGTTTTATCTTATTAAACTCCCGATTTTAAAACGTGCTTACGGTCAGCTAAACATAATGCATTGTCCATTTTGTCCAGTCTATAAATATCTAGTACAGATTGCAATTCATTGACTTTTAAAGGGCATATTTCTGCTAACTCGTCCCAAGTTTGATTCTTGAATGAAACACGCTTGGTCAAGCAGTCAATGGACAACAAAATGAACGCTATATGCACACACATTTCATGAAACACGAACCGTCTGTCATTTTAACTATCTTTCTTTCAAAACCCGGAAATGACGTAGGGTGTAACTCATCCAATGCATTGAAGCTAGTCATTCTTTGGCAGAGGACTCGATGCACGAAACTCGTTCATCTTTATTCTCTTTCTTCTCAAAAACTTTTTTCTTTTTTTTTGACCAGATCAATACGCTAATAGACGAAATGAAACGTACAGCACGAATTATGAGAATATTAACATTTAATGGCGCCATATGTTTTAAGTTTGCGAACGTGAAATGAATTTATTTGAACAAAATAAATATAATAGTTTTATTTAAAATCATATTGCACTTGATGTGATTACTATAATATTTCTGTTAACTTCTCAAAAAAAAAAAATTATTAAAGAAATCTAGACCTATTGGGCAAATATTTTGAATTTGTTGCAAAAAATGATTGGGAAAACTCGAAATTAGATCTTCTTCTTTAAATTCATTATAAGATGGGTACAAACATCCTCAATGGAAAATAATGAGGAATTTACATATTATTTCTGTCTCATATTGTATTATCATTCACAAAAACACGAAAAAACGTCTTTTCAGTTATTCACACACAAAATTCTGCCTATGCGGATATCGAGTAATTCAAAAATAATCGTTAGATAAATTTAAATTTAAATGAAATTTAAGCCTGTATGTTCATACGCTTTCCAATGTTCTGGCGCTTATTGGCTGTACATATAGACTTGTATACACAATAGTATTATATATCGGAAATTTTATAGTTTCGAATAAATATTTTGAAAACATTGGTATACCGGATTCACCAGTAATACTGAAACATTATTGGGTTCGCAGAAACTCCATTTGCCGACATTTCTGAGAAATTTTTTCAATTTGAAAAAATCTATGTAATCATTACTGTTAATTTTCTCCTACATTTATCATGCGTATATTCTGTTTCATTCATCAAAATTTCATTCAATACATTGACTGAATAATATGAGCAGAGTATCTACTAGCAAATCCAAATGCACCAAAGTTACTTTAATTTTTGTAATTTTGTTAAACTACCATACTTGCTAATTCAATTTGGTCGGTATTGAAAATATCCCGGGATATCAGACTGTCGCTTTGGTTCGTTACCTCACACAAGTATGCTCGTTCTAGAGCACAAAAAACTTTTTTTTGCATTTTAACGCCTTGTATATAGCCGTCTAAATTTGATTTAACATTAGCCAGATTTAAATAGCTTTTGTTGCAAGAGTTATCTTTAATTCACGCTTGATCTTCTTATTCGCAATAGTGTGTAGTTTGTTTTATTTCTTTGTTTTACATATGGTGTAAAACTCCATATGACTATTTGGACTGTTGGTGTATTACATTTTCTTATTTAGTTAGCATGTATTATTTTGACGGAAAAGTTGTATTTTTGTGGTATGAAAGTTTTCTCATAAAATCGTAAAAAATGTCGTTAAGGCATAGCCGAGTATACAATTACATTACATTGTAACTTTCTGAGTTTTTGTTTAATGATTTTGTTGATTTTACTGTTTGTTTTTGATTACAATTTAGCATAGTTTGTCCAAAAGTGGCCCAATTAGCCGATAGACCATATTTGGAAGTTGTAAAAAGGTGTTTTTTTTTTTTTTACCATTATTTTATTTCTATGGAGTTCAAAATATTAAAACAGAAAAAAAATAAAAAATAAAAAATCCAAAAAAAAATAGTTGTGTTTAATTGTTCTTGTGTTTTGTTTTTAATTTTTAGTAAAAAAAGGAAAAACGAATAAAAAAATATGTTAGTTGTTTGTATATAATTTAGTGTGTTTCTGAATGAACTAAAAAAAAAAAAATTAAAAAAATTTAAGTTGTTCAATTTTCTTCATATTTTTCTCAATCGAAAAAGAATAAAAACGAAAAAAAAAGTGTTTATTGTTTGTATGTAATAGTTGATTTCTATATTTTAGCGTAGTTTAATAAACTGAAATTAAAAAAAAAAATCGAATAAAAAATATGTTAATTGTTTGTATATAATTTAGTGTGTTTCTCAATGAACTACTTTAAAAAAAATTCAAGTTGTTCAATTTTCTCCATATTTTTCTCAGTCGAAATAGATTAGAAACGGAATGAAAATGTTTATTGTTTGTATGTAATAGTTGATTTCTATATTTTAGCGTAGTCTAATGAACAAAAATGAAAAAAAAAATTTATAAAAAATCGTGTGTTTTCCACTCCTTGCATGTGTAAGCAATATAGTCGCGATGCGGCTCGGTATCTATTTTACTTGAATATAACAGGTTTGATGAGTCTAGTTTGTTTGCCTACAATAATGGTAAATTGTAATGCATTGATATCACTATTTGTGGAAAAATAAATTGTACATATGTCAGATTATTGTGCCTTTTAATTGTGGTCGTTGTAGGGTGTGTGTGGACATGTATAGAATTTGAACCTGTTGTCTGGTTGGTCAAATTTTTAACCACTAATAAACATTTATCTGTAATGGAATGGAGAAAATAACGTCTTTTTTAACATAATCAATTTCTTCTTGTCTTGGTGAGAAGTCGGCTTATAACTTGCTAAATCTTTATAAAATGATGTTCTGCCGGGTTTTCAATCGAGAGGATTAGTTAGGTCTATCTGAACCCAAAAATCGTAGTGTTTTTTAAATTTCGTCTGGTTGGTCTCGCCGAGAAACGTAGAGAGTATGCGAGAAAACAGGAAAGGACATATACACAGCTACAAATGCTAAAAGGTTTGTAAGATTTAGGCCAATGACTAAGTGGGTTGTAATTCACCCATATATACTATTCGATTTTAGGCATTGATTCACAGTAAAGAAAATTGGTATATTCAGTCGGAAACAAATTGAAACACATAATGGTGATAAATTGTTTATATTATTTGAAGTATTCTCAAAAATGTTTATTGGTACCACCCCATCTGTAGCAAGTCAGAGTCTGCAACGATACAAAGCAAGATACAAAGATTTTTTAGGCCTGTAATTTGATGAACCATATGAAACGATAAATTATATTAATCTTCAAATTTATCTCAGCAACAATGATGAAGAGTCCGCTTTTTCGTCCATCCGATAGTTTATGATTTTGAAAGGATGCTTTGCTCAAGTTGCAACTGTAGAGCATCACAATTTCTGAACTTACTAGTTGGTACCTTAAATATATATATATATATGTGGAACAAAATATCGAAGATTATTACAATTGTCTCCACATATGTTACATAAGGTTGTTACTATAAATTAAAACAGAACAGCAAAATTTTGAATACAAAATCAATTTCCGTAGGACTAGAAATTAACAAAATGTTATGAGCCTTCTAGATACTTCTTGAAGTGCAGAGAATCTAAAATCGATCGATTTATTAGTTGCAAAGAAATGAGTTTTTTTTTTAAAACTCCAATAACAAAAACCATTTTAAAAACTGATCCATTATCCAGTTTTTATCCGAAAATTAATTTCCTAAGCAATCCGATCAGTTTATCTTTGTATGCTTCAATTAACGCCACATGTCATTTAGTATATTTTCATAATTCTACTCACTGAGTCGGTTCAGTCCACTAGTTCGTTGTGACAGATGCAAAATGCCTACACACCTAAGATTTGGCAAAGACTCCAAGAGAATATAGAAATTTAAATTTTACTGATTTCGGCTTAATATTAATTCGCATATAAAACCACTGACTAATGTGTTTATTATTTACATATATATCTAAAAACAACAACAACAATTGTGAAATAACATGTTGAATTGTTTCCATAATATTCTATGTTTTTCTTTCGTAAATTCGTTTTATTGTCAAGATCCGAATTTCATGACATTCAATAATGGCTCGTAGCAATTTTAGAAAAATTCAGCAAGATAATTTTAATTTATTTGTACAAAGTATTTCAACCAGAATATAGTAAAGTGTCGACCCATATTATACCAAAGTCGTCAGTAAGTGTCAGTGTGACGTCATCTAGTTTGCATATGTGCACAAATTAAAACTGTCCATATTTAAATATACATCCTGTGTAACTTAATTGAACAAATTCCTTTTTATGCGTTCGCATCTAGATAATATATATATATATACAATATTAGATATATTTATTAAATAATCTGATAAGGCGTTTCCGTTAGTGGTTACGTTTGCGATATTAGTTTGTATTTCTGGAAAGAACATGGCTATGAATTCCAATTACAAAATAATCAAAAGAGCGAACGTGAATTAAAATGCTGATTTTTGCATTTGTGTTTAATCATTTTTATGGTAGATACACGTACAGCGTACCTCCACCCGATTAATATTAAAATTAATTAAAATCTAAGTCTTGCGTGAGAAAATATTTTTGAACGTTGGAATCCTGCATTGCTAAAAAATTGAAAAAATCCAGCACGGTAAACTGACACCCCGACAATCGGCGTTATATGATTACGTATAATATCAGCCAGACGAGTAGGATTTGAAAGCCAACAAAACCATCACCCTATATTGAGTATCAGCATTCAAATCCAATAAGTTGTATCACAACAGCCGATAGCTCCATTCAACTATTTTTTCCCTTCTATATAATATAAATAACGCAGTAATGGATTTGTGTGTTTGTAGGGAATATTAGTAACTTTAACAAAATGTTTGAGAGCAAAATAAATGATGTTACTGGAAAATCCCAACTGGTCAAATACTTCTTCCAATTTGAAAAAATCACTTATATAACACCTCGCTGTAAATTATAAAACCTATATTGACCCAAAAATAGAATTATATATCGTTTATGTAACATGTCAGTAACATGTTACATAAACAAGACAAAAAAACAGAATTATCGTTTATGTAACATGTCAATTTTGTTATTTGGTCACTATAAGTTTTGGACTATTTAATACGAACTTGTTATAATTTACAGCGACGTGTTATATAAGTAAATTTATCGAATTAGAATCATTTTTTCTTTACTTTTAAACATTTTATTAAAATTTGTAATATTCCCTACAAGTTCGTGTTCTGATGAATTTTCAATTTTAGATCTTTGGAGTACTAACTATTTTAATTTGTCCCAATATATGAAATTTTATAAATTCCTATGTCCTTTTATCAATAATATCTTCTCTTAGATAACCGCAATGCGTTAAGGAGACTGATATGCATGCATATACAGTTCGAATTGTTTATTAGATAGATAGATGGTATATATACCCAAGAAATTCGTTTTGTATTAAACCATATTTAGCAATGTTTCACCTTTGTGATCGATGGAAATTTGAGCAGCGTGTTTGACGTCAACTCCGCAAAATAAACTGCGTATTTACGGTTTTAAGGGGGTGCTCGACATAATCTAACTGTAGATTAAATTTGAATAATCTTAAATATGCAATAGTATCTATGCAATGCTAAATATGCAATTAAACACATTGATATATTGTATTACGCAATATTATAGTGTGGGCATGTCGCCAGTTCGCATGTCAATTAGAGGCACAAAGATCTTAGTAAATAATCGAGACAAATAGGTTAAAGGTTGGCGCATCGTGCTAAGCCTTAGGAATACGCCTGTCCTCACATCGCTGAATGCTTTGTGAATGTTTCCAGGTTCCAATCTCAAGGAAGACAGTTATGTGTAAGAAGAGTGGATTACGTAAACGCTGGTCTTTGAGCTAAACGTTCATTCCCATCTTTTAAATCTATCCTACCAATATAAATCACTCGACCATGGAGTTACTGGTATCTATACTCCAGTGCACCGTCTTGTGGCCTTCTAACCACAATTGTTGATGTTTAGCCCAATCCAACATGTGCAATCTACATAGACTCTGCCACGACTAATATGCGTTTCCCGTGTGAGTTTTTGTAAAATAGAAACTTTGATACTATTGAGATTTGTTTTTTCCGTTCTAATATGTCAGAATAGTCTACAAATGGATCCTAGATTTTCAAAAAATTCTTATTCTATATATCTTTCTAGGTAAACTCACATTAATCTTAAAAATGATTCTATAGGAATAAGTGTGTATATTCATTTAACTCAATTGTCTATCAAGATATAATGTTTTTGGTTTCCACAAAATACACTCATATTTTTCATTTTATAATTGTAGTTTCATAATACCAATATACTTATATAAGGTTCTATAAGTGATACTATTACATATAATAATTTTATTACAAAAGTAATACTGTTACATCACCACAACCAATGATGCCTATAAACAGCAATATATAACATTTTTTCAAACCCAAATCAAATATATAAATGGATTTTCACAAAGTTACCAAAACATAATACTCCTTTATATTAATTAATTCGAATGTTTCGTAAGCAATACAATTTGGCCAAATATATTATTCAGATTAGAAAGAACATCATCAAACACATTTGAGATTTGTTGAAATCCTACTATATAGTATCACCAGGGTGTTGGAAAAGTAACGCAAAATTAACAAAAGTTAAGATGAAATGCTACTTAAAACATTTAACCACTGACACCTTTTAATAGTATTAAATTACGATGAAATGCCATTCCTCGACTGACGCTTTTTAATAGTTACTTTTTTAACGTTTTCATGACGAAAAATTTTATCTTAATTTTGCATTACTTTTTTAACACTCATATATCATCAATAGCCTTCTTCTATCTAGGTCTATATTTCTATATAGAATCACATACGGTAATTCAAAATGTTATAAACAGTGGCATGATATGAAACTACAGCAATCACTTACAATCATAATATAATGATAATTCCAAATGACTATATTAATGCAAAATTTTGATTCATTCATAATCAATATTAACAACACATAATCGTGAAAAAAACTGGGTTTATTTATTAAATACCCAATTTTAATGTACGAGTGGAAAAATCCACGCAATCTATCTAAGTCTCGACATTCAAATCAGCAAAGGTGAGAAAATCCTAATAAAACTGGCATGATCTAATAAGTACGAGGCATTATTATATGAGTGAACAAATCAATGCAATCAATCTATTTTTTGAAACATTACCAATAGGTGAAATGACAAATCTAAAAAAAAAATCGAACAATACACTCTTATTAATATGTTCAATATATTCAGACAAAATGAGGTGTTAATTAAAACAAATACACAAAATTATGACATCAGATTTTCTAGTGGTGACTAATCTACATTGTATATATATATATATATATATATATAGTCTATTACTTTACAAATGGAACAGCAAGCAAAACATGGTATATGCACCAGCTATAACATTAGGATCCCACTATATATAATAATGCAACAAAATAGTTCACTTGACTTAGACGGAAATAAAGGATAGCTCTTCGGTACACATGTTTATATTGAATAGTTTCTGTTGACATTGTGGATTGTCTTGATTCGTTTTCGAGAACTTTAGCTGTAATGTAATTGATTTATAAATTTAGATATCAAAATGGTTTTCATTTAGCTAATTTATCATAATATTTTTGAATTGAAAAGATATATATTTACTGGCTTGCCATATTCTACAAAGATTCCACATTTTTTCAGTGAATCCTCAAAGATTGTCTGTTAATTCACATACATTGCCTTGTATTAAAATGAATATAAATAAATAGCAAAGGGTAAATTCAACCGTTTGTGGAACAAGTAAAATTTCATTGGTACTGACCAAATTTTCCTCAGAACATTAAATTAGAATGTACATCAGCAAACAAGCTTTTCACTTTTTACAAGTGTATACAAAATTGCACAATAGCTTGAACGGGATTTCAAACAAGTGTTGTGGTATTTAAAAAAAATTGAAGAGCAAATTCAAAACTTCCAATAATTCACTTCTCTTTAGTACAGTGGTTATCGAGAATTTTGGTGTGGCGAAACCTCAATAAAACATTCCAGGGGTTCTGTGAAATAGTTTGTCTTTTATTGTCTGAATTGTATAAACTATAAATAACGGTATATATAAAAGCAAACCCAATACTGAATATTTAATGATATTTGAAGTGTAGCAAGTGTAATAATAGTGGAAAACCTAATAGGTAGTTGTTTATATTTGAACAATGTAGGCTACATATAATTAGACTCTACAAAAAAAAAAAAAAATAAGAGTCATACCTTCACTATATTACAGTGTCATAAAATGCAATTTCAATGTATGAATCTTTCCAGAGGAATCTCCATAAACAATGCTTGAATCTGAGAAACAACATGCAGATGTAACAGGACTGGTGGTGAAAAACTGGCCAATCTGTTTCAAATCTGGCTTGGTCCAAACTTTGATAGTACAGTCGTAAGAGCCAGTAATTATGGTGTTTGGGGAATCCAGTATCACAGAGATTCGGTCATTATGAAGCTTCTTTGTTATATTAGCCAGAGGCATGTAAATAATTCCATTACTACTTCCAGCAATAAAAATCCTCTTTGAAGAAATCCCCTCAACGAGAGCAAATGAGTGCAAGAATTCTGCATTAGACAAAGCAATATCAGTAGCATCAAATATTCGACCCTTGTCGGTCATCCTAAAAACAGTAGGCTGTAAATCAGAATCATTAACACATGCCAGAAGTTTGTGTCCATGTAAATCATCTAAATTCATTGAAAATGTTTCGATTTCCTCAAGATTTTCTTCAACGGAACAATCAAATATTTTCCCCTTTATATCGCCAATGAGAAAATCTAACTTTTGTTTAATCCCAGATGAAGCTGGGAGAGAAATAAGCGGGTCAGAAAATTTATAACTTGTTTTTTTCTGTAAACTGACATGGATTTGAGAATTTCCATCTGAATCTTGATTGCAATTTATAAGCCAAACAATAATTTGTGCATCATATGATATAGTAGCAAATGCATTTTCTTTCAAGCGTTGCATAGCTGTGATACGTTTACTATGGCCTTTTGCTTTATATGCCAAAGTCAATTCATTATTTGCATCAAATTGCCATAAATATACAAATCCAGCATCACACGATGATACTACAATGTGTTGAAACGCGATAACCGATGTAACTTCACCATTATGTATTTGGTCATCTTTACCAGAAGGTAAAACGCTCCAAGCTTTCATGTTCCCTTTTGAAGAGCATGAAATAAATTCATCTTCACCATTTACTACAACTTGATCCACAGATTTGTCCTGTTCACTCATTGTAACGACTTTATTTCCAACTAAAGGTTTCCAAAGTGATATTTGTGCATCGTTACTTGCACAAACAACATCAAAATTTTGCATTTCTGCAGCAACTGCTTTTCGTTTTCTTTTCGCGCCTGGTTTGCGTTTTTCATGTTCTTCGTTCCATTCTGCGACTTCAACTTCATCCGCCCAATTCAAGGGGTCTTCTGGTTTATCATCGTCAAAGTTAAGTGCTTCCTGTTCATCTTCATTATCTTTTTCATCAATCTGCAAAGTAACATCGCAGCAATTGGTTCTAGATTCCGTTTTAAGATTAGTTATTTCAATTCCTTTGTGAGACCAAATTTTGATTGTGTTGTCTTCTCCCCCAGCAGAAACAATGCAACCAAACTTATAAACTACAGAAGCAATACCAGATTCGTGACCTTTTAATATATGAAGTGGTGTTGTATGTTCTTTTCCTGTACAAAAAGGCAATTGAGGACAAGCCCATATTTTCAATGTGGAATCATTAGATCCTGTGACAATATGATCACTGCTATCATTCCATGAACAGCATGTTATCCAGTCCATATGAGCTTGATCAATCACAACTAACGGCTTCATGTCTTGTTGTTGTTCATGTTTTCCTTGTCTCGCTTGTACCTGCATTTGAATCGATGAATTTGTTTGTGTTATGAGACCACCAATATGCCAGTAAGCAATTTTTCCATCACGACCACCAGATACAAGCATTGTTCCTTCAGGATTGAAACACAAACATGACACCGGACCTTCATGTCCACGAAGAGCTTTTGAATAGCTTACAATTACTGGTTTCTTTTCAATTAATACATCGGACTGGGTATTAGCCTGCACAACATTTTGCATTTCATTACCAAAAATATCATTTGCCTCAGGTCTGGCAGATAGATCATCATTACTCCATAACAAAATGTCAAAATCTTCCCCTCCAGAAGCAACCCATTTGGCACTGCAATCCACTGAAAGAACAGGGGCTTTATGCCCTTTGAATGTAGTATGTACAGATTCCCCGGCAGGATTCAAAGCCTTTAAAGTCCAATCCGCACCTCCTGTTATAATCATTTCTGGAACAAATGCATCTCCCAATAGGAAAATACCAGAAAACATGTCATTAGATCGCGCAGGTTTTGTCCATGTCATGCAATTAATAGCAGATTCGTGGACCTTATGTGTGAATAAACTATTTGGTAATAATGGATCATATACAGCAATGTATCCTTCATGAAAGCCAACAGCTAAAAGATTTTTTCCATCGTTAAACTGGCAGCACAATGCATTGCCAAAGTCTTCTGGATCAGGTACCATATATGATATCTCTTTTCTGCCAAGATGAGAATTCCATACAGCAAGTTGAGAAACGCTTTCATTTGTCCCTTCTCCTGCTCCTATAATGTATTCTCCCTCATGAGAAAATGTCAATGATTTTGGTGATGTCAAATATGTTTCACCAAAATTACCAAGAGGGACCCCAGCACCTGCAGACCACAGCCTTATCACAGACTCAAAAATAGAACAAGATGCAATATATCTTCCACAAAGAGAGTATTGAACAGACGAAACAGCATGAGAATGGCCACGAATAACAGCAACACGTTTCAAAGTTTGAACATCCCAGATACGAATAGAAGAATCCCACAACCCTGCTACAATTCTTGCCTGCGTTGGATGAAAATCCATGCAGTTGACACAGGAACTATTTGTTTGAAGTCGATGGACAAATTTGAGATTAGAAACATTCCATAGCGCGATGGAGTGGTCATGTGATGCAGTGGCGAAAACTCTAGAAGAGCTGCCTTGCCTGAGAGGACGTACTTTAACATCACTCACTTTTCTATTATGAGCTTTGAAAGATCGAACTCTGTATCCTTCAACTGTATTCCATATTGATACCATGCCATCTGCAGATGCTGAAATAAATATTGCTTTATTTATAAAGCATAAGGCAGTAACTTCATCAGAATGTCCTATCCATGTGTTTGTCTCCAACCCATTATCCTTCCTGAGAATACTGACTTTTCCTATTTGTGAGCCCCATGCCACAAAGTCACTTTCATAATGTGTAGACACACAAGTACGAACATCGTTTACCATGCCTGTAGTGTAGGTACGGATACACTGCGAAGCTAATTCTACTCCTCCCTCCAAGCATACAATTCTGCATTGATTTTCAGATTGATTGTTCTGATATAACATAGCAGAAACCGTGATATAAGGGTAGGAATCTTTCACTTGATTAAGAGCATACTGGTATATCAACTCTGGATATTTTGCAATAATGTGTATGCAAGAACTCACAAATTTATACATTTCTTGCCATGGTTTCGTCATCTTTTTCACAGCTAACCTTTTTGTAATATATTTCTTTGCCTTTTCAGCCTCTATCAATGAAAAATCATCCAATAATTGCAAACCAAGTCCTAGTTTACATTTTGCAGCAATGAAATTGAAATCCACAAGTAGAGTTTTCAATGCTTTTTGTTCACCAGCTTTTGCCAAATGAAAAGGAAGCCTTGTCAAAGCTGTTACAATTTCATACAAATTATTTCTTTTTTCTGCACAATTTTCTCGGATTTTGATGACATAGAAATCTGTAAGGATTCTATGACAGGATTTAATGAATTCTCCATCAACCATGTATTTTTCTTCAACTACATCTTGGTGTACTGACTGTCTAATAGACAGAAGCATGCCCCGATCATCTTCAGATGATACAAAAAACCCTCTCAAAGAATTTAAGACAGCTAAGAAGGCAGCTTTGGTTAAAACTTCTTCCTCGCCAGTGGTTTCTTTACTGAATCTCAGTGATAAAGCAGAAAACAAGTCTTCTTCTGAAATACCCCATTTCTTTGAGCAGTGAATCACACCCAATACCATTCCTACCAATACAGGATGACTTTTAAATCTTGCTTCGACTGCACAAAGTTGTAACTCGAGTATGGCATCCAAGTCATGAGGAAGAGTCTTCAGAGTTTTAGTAAGAGACTCAAAAGTTTCTTGCACTCTTATCATTTCACAGACATTACTCAAGTAGAGTGGATATTTTGAACCATGTTTTGAAAGTAACAATTGTAATTGGTTATTGAAATGAGATTCATCAATTTTTTTGCTGTGGACTCCTAAAACTGATCTTACAATCGCTCGCTTATCCGACATGGACAAATCTGGCATCAGCTGAAAAACAGTTCCAGGAATGTGTTTCAGAGCTTTGTGAGCAAGTCCTTGTTCAACACATGTAACAACAATTGTGAAACCTTCATAATGAAGTTTGCTGAGCCAGTCAATGCTATCTCCAACCACATCCATATCATCTATTAACAAGTAAAGTAACGGAGCTTTTCTAGTTATATTTTTGATCTTTTCCATCATTTTGGGGAAAATGCCAATCAGGCTATCCATATCATTTTGAATGTTGAGGTCTTCAATGCCGTACGCTTTTACGACTTGACAACAGAAACGATACAGTGGGGTTGATGCTAGCCCACCCACAGAAGCATAATGAATGCAAGAAATCACATTTTGCATATCAGTAGTTAGCTTTTTATGCACAGCTGATAAAAGTGAAGATTTCCCACTTCCGACTCTACCTACCAATGCAACAATGGGACTCTCTGAAGTTTTCCTCCGTGTTGCGACTTTGTTGAAAAATGCTGATAACAAAGATGATCTTGCTACAAATTCTTGCTGAGATAATATCTGGCTTTGAATTGCATCTTCTGCAGTAAAAACACTTGAATTCTCATTTTTTGAATGTGCATCGTTTCTCTGAATCTTTTTAAGACCTTTCATCATATCAGATAAAATCATGTCTTCAAATTGATTCAAGTCTCTTACAATAGGAACTTCATCGACAATGCCTTCCCACGTAGGATAATATGTTTGAACGTGTGAATCCATATATTTGTCCTCAATTCTTTGTTTCAAATCTCGCAGCTTACTTTTCTTGTTTGAAGTTTGTTCAAAAAATGTTGGTTTCATAGACTTTGGCATAAAATTTTTTAGGTCAGTAGAGTCTCGGAGATAGAAATAACAATCCTTCTTGCTAAACTCAGCTTGAGCAATTTCTATTTCAGTGATTGATCTTCCTTTCGGGTAATCTTCCAGCCATTCAGAACCTTTATCAGGAAATCCATAATCTTTTGGCATCCATCCATATCGTTCCCCGAGCATGCAAATGAAAATATCACATTTACGAACTTCTTGTAAACAAATACCAACACTGCGATCATAGCGACTATCTTCTCCCGTAATTCCCCACCGCAAATCAGTTTCGATCACATTCAAGCGTAGTTTTTTAGCACGCTCTCGAAGAACAGGAAAAACTTTATGTACGAGAGCATCTCTTTCACTTAGCATATCTTTGATAGTTGAAGAGATGAACACTCTAACAGTTCGCCATGGTTTGGGCAAAGGTGCATCAATCAAAACTGGAGCTAACTTCTCAATACTTATATTCTTGTCCTCATTGATTGTAAGCTCATATTTCTTGTCTATGTTGGAAACAAAATTCAATTGTCCTTCTCCTGAGCCGAGAGCAATGTATTTCAAAATCTGATCACTGTATCCACTAAATCTCAAGATGTTGTCAGAAACTCGTTCATTAGAAACAGAAGCTCTTTTTCCTGCTAAATCAACCTCATAACACATTAGGTTGTGATTAATATTGTCTCTGTATCTTTCCATAAACATGTTGAGATTCACATTTTCGTGGGTTTCAAGGGCTGATGACAGCACCAGTAAATTGTCCATCTTCATTCTTTCTAGCAAAACTTTATCTAAAAATTTTGTTGGTATGAATCCATGCTTTTCAAACTGTACTACGTTTACCAATCCAAGTATTCTTTGGAGATTTTCCAAAATCCCTCCACTTTCTAACTCAATGATTTTGTATTTTTTACCACTACAGATGAGAAATGTACATGCCTCACATGAATAAGCACACATGAGTCCGAGCAGAAGCCCAACTTCAGCAAGCGTACGTGATGAGCCAAGGCCCTTCGAGCTGGTGCAACGTTTTTGCATTGTATCATAACGGACATCACAAAGTATGACTGTGTGACCTTGAATTGGTGGTACATTGCTAACTGTTGCAATTCTTACAGCAGTATCCAGAGCTTTCCTGTATCGATTGATCAATTCTTGATTGTATGCAAATTCTTTACCATATTTCTTATGGACTTGTTTTCTTATAAAGTCAACTTGTTTTTCTTCAGCTGTTTTGGTCTGTTGATCGCCAAATTTTCTATTCAAATAGTATTTCTGTGTTCCTTTTAGAAAATATTTTAATCCGTGTTTTTTATACATTTCCTGTTTTTCAATTTCTTTTTCTAGCTCAGATAAAACTTCATACGCTGAAAAGAATCTGAAAGGAAATTGACGACTTCTGGTAACTGCTCTCTCATTGGTCAATATCTTGATGACTTGAATGTGATGTTTTTCTGATATGCCTGCTTTAATCATGTTTCTGATATTTCGCAGCATGGCCATAAAAGGGAGTTTCTTGTGATCAAGAAGATCTTGCCATGTTTTCGCGAGATTACCTTTAGAAGAGACTTGTGTTTCCCATGTCTCCGGTACTTCGAGTTTCATGCGTTTCCCAGAAAGAGCAGAATCCCAAGTTCCTTCTAATCCACATTTGTAAAAAGATTCGACGCTTTCGGGATACTTTTTTCCTATGATACGCATGACTGCCTGAGCGGGTTTTGTTATGTGAAGTTTTCGAATCAAATATTTCAGAGTAAAACTCGGACTATAAAGTTTGAGCTTCTTTATCACGTCCTCCTCTTCATTTTCACCATCCTTAATTTTTCTTTCTCGTTCAGTATTCTTTTGATTTTTTTTCTCTTCTTCCTTACTCTCATTTTTCCCTTTCTTTCCCTTTTTCTTCTTTTTTGCTGATTTTGATTTGTCCTTGTTATACTTTGCGAGTACATATTCATCAAAACTGGGGAACTTGGTCACCATGACTTTCCTCAAAGCAGAAGGTAATGTCTTAATACCTTCAGATCCATAAGGATCAGACAGACTTTGATAAAACTCGGCAACTTGAATCCAATCTGAAGGAAGAATAATAGCTTTATTAAAATACTTTTTCAAGTATGGTCTGCAAGGCGGAAGAAAAGATGATATTGCGAGTAGAAAATTGCTTGTTGCTCTTATGTTAAGCTCAACTCTTGAATACAAAGCTACCTTTAGAACAAATTCAGGCTCGGAATTTGAAATTGCTTCAGATAATTCATACAACTTCGATCTAGTGGCGTCCACTGGATTAAACCAAATAGGATTGTTTATCAAGGACGTGCAAACACATTCAATAAAAGCTGTTTTCGTGATAACAAGTTGAGATGTATCTTCTTGCAATGTTTGCTTGAATTCATCTATAGTTGGAAAGTTTATTTCATCAGTCTCTGGAACAATCGCTAATAAATCGTTTTCATCCAATGGCTTAACATTTGATTGTTCACAAATCGAAACTTTTTCCCCAGATTGATTTTTAGCTCCTGTGATTCCAAAACTCGAAGCCACAATATTTCTTTTCTGTTCAAGATTGAAATTGGGAGCTAACAGTGTATTTGTAGTTTTTAAGCCAGTTTTCAGATTACCACATAGACTTGAGTTTCTTAAATCTCTTCTAGTAGACACCAGACTAGAATTTGCAAGCAAGGGATTCACTAGCGACTTTCTTGGCGCATTTTTCTGAGTCACTTGTTTCAAAGATGGTTTACTCAACGAAGTAAGCAACTTGTTCTCACATGAAAACCTAGATTCCAACTTCTCCTTTGAAACTCTGACATCATATTCATTCTCCTTTGCCTTTAATAGGTTATTTTCGAGAATAGAAGATGATAGTTTCGAAGCTTTAACGTTTGATGAAAATTTATCCAGGAGAACGCTCCTTGTTGAAGAGGTAGGCTTCTTCAAACCAAGACTTGGCAAAGAATTCGAAGACTTTCGCAACGAATGAGTCTCAAGAAAAGCATTCTTGAGTGTTTTGCTCTGGAGACTACCATGACCAGCAAGAAGTTTGTTCTCAGTAGAAATGACCATGTTACTTTGTTAAGATATATCTAGATATTCAACATGTCTGAGAAATCAAAAATTGCATATCATTAAAAAATCAAACCCTGTGTATGACAATATAATAATATTTACAATGTTGAACAATTAAGAAAACAATTCACTAGAATAATTCACTGAACCAAAACATAGCCATTTATAACATTTTCTTACAATATGATTCCACACTAGTATTTAACTCATAACTATTGTTGAAATGATAAAGTCAAAATATTTTGAATAAATTCCAATTTCACTGCACAATACCATAGGCGTAGCCAGGAGGGCTGAGGGTCATTTTTTTCAATGCAATTTGTCAGCATTTATAGTGGAACGTTTTTACGCCTTTTTTAAACTATTTTACTCCCTTCTTGAACGATTTATTGAAAGCTGACTTTTTCTGGCTTGCTATCAATAAAAAAAAATGCCTTTCCCCCAAGAAAAAAATTTTGAGCCGGCTACACTATTGCATAGCACTATATTAATTTGAAATATTTCCATGAACATTACCAATGAGAGGATAGATATTCTTATCCTTATCCAAATTCTTACAACCACCAACTTCCTTTTTCGAATAACAAAGAAATATAAAGAATATATTAGGATTATCACATGCTATAGTAACAATCATCAAGAAATAGCAGACTGTTTACTTATAGTTAATCATTAAACATGTAATATTGTTTTTTCAATTCATCATTTTTAAAATTTGGAACAAAGTTTACTTTTACAATGCTTGAAAATCCCTCTTTCATGCTTGGTTCTTTGTAAGCTTTTCTATATTGATAAAAGACCATGTCTGGTACTTTATCATGATCCGATCCTGAGAGTTCTCGAAATTTATTATTATGTCTTGCATGTTCCATTGTCACTTGCATAGCAAAGCATCTGCAATCGCAGCCTCTTGCTTTAGCACAATCTATATACCTTTTTCTTGACTCTGGGTCTGCATTTGTGTTGTCCACGACCACACTTTTTCCTTCGCTGAGGAAACGTGTACATGCCGCCACACATTTTTGCCATGTTTTCATTGTGTCTCGATTTACAAGGGTATATCCATTTGCTTCCAAATAATCTTTAGAAACGGTAGACTTTCCGCTGGCTGGATACCCAACCATGATCACAACTTCTTGTTTTTTGCTGATCAGCTCATCCATGTTTTTTATTAAAACTTTGTTGTCGATGACACTTTTTGGATCAAATTCAGGCATGTTGAATTTAACAGGCTTTTGCGAAAGAAAATATTCCTCGGGAGTTTTGAAATCAATTTCCAAATTCATAGCAAATAATCTATCAGTACACGAAAAATCTTTTTTCTTTTTTGGAGCCCAATCTTTTGGGCGGCCAGCTGCATCTCCGACATAATAACTATGAGACATATCGATAGGTATTCCCCCATTACCTTCTTTTGCCAGCCAAGTCCATGTTCCAATGTTAGGTTTTCGAGACGGACCCTTTTTCGTAATTGCTATCACCTGAGCTTTAATACCAAGCTTTCCCAAAATGTTTTCGACTTTGGTTTTGAAATCCTTTGGTTGAAGTTTACCTTTCCCAATCCCCAGTTGGTTGGTTATTATCACTATTTTATATTGGTCATTTTGAAGCTTTTTCAATTTTCCTGGTACTTCGGCGTAAAGTATCTTCCAATCATTATGATCTTTTGCAAATGTCCTACCCGATGCTGTTGTTATTATTGTACCATCCATATCAAATGCTGCTATTTTTGATGAATTATACAACTGCGGAGAATGATAAATTAATAAGCCTTCTTTTTCTTCCCAACCAACTGGATAGTCAGATTTTATCCATCCGCTAAATACATTTTTCTCTCTACCACCATCTTTTGATTTTTCTGTTTTCACAATGGATAGACTTTTGCTTTGTAAAAATTTGAGCTTTTCCACAACTTTATTTTCATCATCACTCTGATCATCCGATACCTCATCTTCATTTACCATTTTGGCTTTTTTTGTTAGTGGTGTTTCCGTTCTGGATTCTGAAGAACAAGGCCCAAAATATGAGTCGATTGTTCGTTTTTCAGCTGTTGTTTTTGGCGTTTTAATAATTTCATGTGGATATTGTTGAACAACAAAATAGAAAATATCACCAACTTTTAACTTCTTCTCGTGTCCTTTTGCAATCTCTTGTTGACCAATCATAGACGGGTTAGTTCCAAGATGTTTCAAAGTGACGCTTTCTTTTTCATAGTTTGCTGTTAATTCAACTTGCTTTCTTGAACAAATTTTTTCAATGATTTTTGTTTGTGGACTTCTTCCTAGTATGACAGGAACACCATTTGGTAATGGAATAGGTTCGTGTCTATCATTACAGCACCTCAATTGAAGCATTATACAGAATTATCTATGACCCTATAATGAGAGAGTGATAATAATTTATTTCCGAATTTATAATCAAAGTACACATTGCAGTAAAAAGAATAAACAGTAATCATAAAGTATAATCGAAAAAGGGCAGGTAAGACTGCAAGGTTAACAAGATCGACCGACCCCTAAAGAAAGTTCTTATTAGGATGAGGCACATAATCAATTACAATAATTTGTTCATAGCCTAGAAGGTCAACAAAAGTTATGTTTTATTTTATGTTCAACTTGAATTATTGCATTCCATCAAGAGCTCAATTGAAACATATTATGTCATTATTATTGTAGTGAAAAAATATTTTTTAAATTTAAGCCTGTTAACTCTTTCCAGGCGGTGGGCACGTATACGTACCAACGACAAAACTCGCTAGATCACGGCGGGTACTTCAAGTTACCCATAGTTTTATTTAGCAATCGGTCGCAAACTGTTGATCTAGTTTTTCCGGGTTTTAGTTTATTGATAAGAAGTCTTCTTCGAGATTAACATAAGCGACGGTAAATCTCGCTTTCGTTTACGACGGGAATTTTATTTGCGGCGGAACGAGGGAGTGATTTTGAAATTTATGCAAATTTCTGTGTTTTTTGGGTGGTAATAGAAGACATATTATCCCTTCCATCTACCAAAGAATTTTGAGTTAGATCACGAAATTGCTACAGCAATATTATGCTATTGTTTGCCAACCAAGAAGCGGTAACAGTAAAGGGTTTAGCTAATATTTCTATTTTTTTATCACGGTTTGAAGTTTCAACTCCCAAGAAAAAAAAATGCCCTTTTTCTATCCGGTTTGTGACTCAGACCACCACATTTAAAAAAAATTTTTTTAATCGCCAACTGCAAGCTCTTTAAATAAGCTTTCTAACGAGCCGTCAGTGGGCAGCAGAGGATCATTAGTTTTTCATTAGTCGATCGATTAGTTGTTGGGGTACAAATGCATAAAATCAGCGTAGCAAATACGATTATTTAATAAAAAATAAAAATCGCATTGAAAGGGTTAACGAGCCCTCAAAAAATTCAATTCCTTTATATAAACTTAAGAGTTCAGGCACTTTTTCAGGCACATTAATTTTTTTTTTCTTTTTTTTTCCGTAGTTCATTGGGGTTAAGTTTTATTAGACCTTGAATGAAATTGTACATTAAAAAAATGCAATTTTTCCAATTTAATATGGTATAATTAATTTTTCAATAGTAAAATATGGCAACACTCAATACAAAAAGAGGCACTCGTGAAACTTCAGGCACTTTGTAAATACCTAGATATGTCCTAATGTTAATGATTACTTTAAAGCAGAAAAATCAAAAATAAAGAAAGCAGAAATGATGGAAATTATGTTTTTTCAAAGTGCCTGAAATTTCAAGAGTGCCTGATATTCTGCTCAGGGTTGCCATATTTTACCATTGGAAAATTGATTATAGTCTGCCTCATAAAGTTGGGAAGTTTGATCCTACTTATACAACCATATATTATTGTTCCATGCGATATAGAAATGCACATGTTTATTCAAGAGACCGAAATCTTAATAAACTACTGAAAAAAAATCATAGTGCCCACAATGGGGTCTAAAAAAATATTACTGTTTTAGGGAGCCCCGAGGAAAGGCGATGACACGTTTAACAACCCTATTGAGTGCGAATTATTTATAGAAAAAATAAAACAGTTATACAAACCATTAAATATACATATGAAATCCAATGTTGACAATCCAGTATGAAATTTGCTCTAACCGGCCAGCACCTGAATCAGCAAATGCTGAAATGTCGACTGCGCCATCTTTCGTAAGGGGTTCGAGTAACAATGTAAAAAAACAAAATATTACAAATCTCATTCTGTCATGCTGATTATGGAGTCGAAATAAACTCATACTGTACTTATACTGTACCAGTACCGGTAATAAATGCGAATCTTTTCCCGGTAAATCATAACGACATAGGCCAATTCCGTTGACAACGGGAATTCCCCAACTGTGTATGATGTGCCGGTACTGCTCTTTAGCGCCTCACAATTTACATATTGTTCGGTTTTGTCCGCCTGTCCTGTGTGTTCATTGTCTGTTCCCTACAAATCATATTTCTGGAGCATAATTCTGCAGCTCGTCATCAAAATGCAAGAGCACGTTAACCAAAAAGGACCTGGTTTTGTTGGAATCAAATTTTGTCAAGAATGGTGAGTTTACAATGTCTAATTCTTTTCCCAGTTCCTACAGTTTAGTCTGTTAGTTGTGTTGTGTGTGAGCGTTGGCATACCGTATTACCGGTACTGTATTAACAGGTTCAGCTGTTAGATTGATAAATGGATTTTATTTAAATTTATCAGCAAAAACAAAACAATATCTAAATACACAGAAAAAAGACAGGAATATCTGAATCAGCGAAGTGAACCAAAGCATACGAACAACAGAACATAAATATCGATGAGACAATGATATTTCGGGTCTAGTATAGTTCAGTACCACAAGTACTTCCAGTTGGCGTATCAAAACCAATTTTGCATATAGTATTTCTAATCTCCACCTGAATATGCCATCCAAAAATTACGTTATTAGGAGGTCATCATCAGAGCTTGCCAAAGCATAATTACGATCGCCCAAATTGGCATCTGCGCCGCCGATAACGAACTTGCTAGCACCGCCGATCTTTCTCATATCGTGATTGTTGCGACGAGAAAACGAGAGAAATGGCTTGCTCGGTGCCGGGTGATTGTCTGCGCGTTTTGGACGACCATCCTCATACTTTGGTGGGCCTTATTACGCCACTGTGAAGTCGCAAGAACGTGATTTTTTGGTGACATAGTCAGGTGGGGGTTAGAAATGACATATGCAAAAATTGTTGAGCCAGGCCAACTAGAAGTGCATGTGGTACTAAACTATACCAGACCCCATATTTCTGCATTCATGCCTGCCACGTATTTTGGATCTGAATCTATGAATAGCCATCACACCATTCAGCTATGCTCATGATGCCTGTATGAGTGAGAGGGCATGAATACAAACTACAGAAAAAGTTATCAAAATGTGCAAGCATTCATTTAATGCTTTGAAGTGGATAAAAAAATTTTACATACAGACTTTTACAAATACACTCAAATGAACCACATCTGACGGTGGTTGGCTTTGTCATTTGCAATTTCTGAGATCTGGAGATATAATTCTATGCTTTTCAGATGATGAATACAGACACATATTAGTGCTTCTCATTAAATTGTTACTAAAATATTATTACAACTTTTTAGCAACAACATGCTCTATCCAAAAGAAGACAAGCAGAACAGAATTCTACTCTACTCAGTGAGATAAGTTAATGAATAGAATATAGATATAGGATTTTCAAACAACCCATGTTCGTGTACTTCTAACTTGAAATGAATATTATTATTTAACCAAGTAGATGAAGTTGCACTTGCACATTCCCAACCTTTTTTGGGCATGGACCATTTTTGAAATGAAATGAATCGCAGCCGACTCAAGACATGAAAATTATACAAACGTTGATTTTATCAAGATTTGTTTATTATTTGAGATTATTACATACTATAAATACCAGAAGTTAACGTTTTTTCAAACCCCTAAGCTTTGCTTATTGCTTTTTTTTCCTGATATCTTCGCAAACTCAACGGGGTCTTTTGTGGACTCATATAAGTCCTGGGGTTGGGAAACACTGAGTAAACATTCTGGTTTTACAATATGCAACAGAAGTTGTTTGTTTAATATCCCACAAAGTCAAGAAATCATATCAATTGATAAAGATTTTTGAAGAAGTTCAGATCAAGTTTTATATTTAACTGAATCTTATGTTCTCTTTCAGTGTCGTAACTGTGACTTTCAAATGGAAGCTGACAATGCATGTATTTATGTAAATAAGATTGTCCATGAAGTTGATGAATTAACACAAATCATTGCTGATGTAGCACAAGATCCAACTTTGCCACGAACAAAAGATCATTCTTGTCCCAAGTTAGTTAATAGTTACAATGTATATTTCAATTTTTTTTCTCATAATTAACGTGTTTTTGATTGGATTAGATCCATCGATCATGAGGTAGGCTTTTATACATCTTTATGAATGTCATAGCATATCTTGCAGATCTGCTGTCCATCTAATAATTAGGATTTATTATCAGATATGCAGAAATGGTACGTATCTATACGTAGATGCGATAAGTTGTACAAACCTTCTAATCAGAGTGTTTTAAAGTCAATCTAACAATAATTCTGTATCACAGTTTGTTACTGCCTACCGACCTATTTTCTGCCGGGTGTTTTATGGAAAAGAAATTCAATTGTCTGATTTTCCAATGCTTGTGATATTAAGATGTGGGAGGGAGCATCTGCTTGTATCAAAACAAGCTCGAAGCTATCATTGCTAAATAAATGAGTCAAGACCAAATTTAATTGCAGAAGATTTGTGGTGTTTTGTAAGCTGTGAAAGAATTTAGTTTCAAACCAGCTTACAAAAAAATATTTATACAAATTTGTTTGTAAGCGGATAATGCTTTATTAGGTTCAAGTTTATGGTCTAAAGTTGTCATCAGAAGAAAAAAACAGTAGAAAGATAATACTCTTGTGATAGTTATGGCTAGGCAACTAAAGTTGATGAGAGACCTGATTATTCTTTCACTTTGCTTCTATCCTTTTCCATTTTATATTTTTCAGATGTCAGCATAAAGAAGCTGTATTCTTCCAATCTCAATCAACAAGAGCAGAGGAAGGCATGAGACTTTATTTTGTTTGCACAAACCCACAATGTGGTCATCGATGGACTCAATTGTAATCTATTCCATCAAATGGTGCAATACTTGAATGCAATCATACATCGATACATGCACAAGGTGAATGAAACATCTTTTGGTCATCAAAACGACCAACATGAATCCATGAGGACAAGAACTAACAAAGCCTATGGAATCGGACAGGGTTGTGTGCTTGTTGCTAAAGATTTTGTGTTACTATTTTTACCAGCTTTTTTCATTAACGAACCAAATCATTTGTTGCAAGCTCTACACTTATAAGCTCTTGTATATTGACATTTATTATGGTGTTTCACCAAATTTTTAGGAAATATATGCTAGGAATCCCATATCGAATAGGTACACAATGTTGATGAACGATGATTCAACCATATAACTGCTCCATTGAATTTGTGAATACTTATAGTAGAACCAGTTTGCTACAAAGGTAAAATTCGTCTTTAAATTTCAAAAATACAATGAATAAACTTTTTCTATCAAATGATTGGGCGGGCATGTGATGCCAGAACAGATGAGAAAACAAATGCGGTAGAGTTGTGTACATTCTAGCCAAAATAGTTGATTTGAAATATATAGCGGGATGAGCATGGCATTAATTGTTAAAGATTCAAGCCCAAACCTGTTCCTCTGATGCATGATTCTCTAGAACTGTGACTTGAAACAGACTGTTCACACCGAAAGTGTTGGGACCCCTTATAAAAACCAGTCAATTGTGTACAAATAGTCCCTAACAAACAATGCTTCACATTCAAAGTGCACTCAAAATTGGAGGATAATGGAGATTCGTGTGAAAGCGCCGAACGCCCTTTTCAACTGGCTCAAACGACCTTGATTAATTGGGGTGGATGGGCCAAATAAACTATGATAGGTCAAGAGTTTCCCTTAATTTGTTCTGTTATGTTATCCTGGATTACAAGAACATGTTCTCATTTGACTACTTTTTCAATCTTAGCATACAAAGCGCATGGGTCACAATCTTCTTGTGACATCTCCGTGTTCCTGAAGTTATCCTGGATTACAAGAACATGTTCTCATTTGACTACTTTTTCAATCTTAGCATACAAAGCGCATGGGTCACAATCTTCTTGTGACATCTCCGTGTTCCTGAAGTTGCCATGCACTGCTTATCTGTGAGGGTGTATTCTAGAATTCTTACATTCACTTACATCCAAGAACTAATAATATTGCAGAAAGTATAGTCAGGTTATCGCATTGTGCGAAGCTTAGGAATATGCATGTCACCACACCTCTGACTACCTTGAGTGGGTTCGAATCCCATAGGAATAAATATGTGTGAGCTCACAGCTTCTCCTGCCATCAACTCACAAGACACAAGAAGCTGGTTAACTATTTACGGACACTGATTGGTTACAGGATCACTGTAATTTGCCATACAACCGAACCTGCACGATCCATACAATTGCACAAACTTTGCCCTTTTCAGTTTTTATTGAAATATTTTCAGCAATGAAATCTAATGGTAGTTTTAGCGACAGTTAACGCATCAAAATCAAAAAGAATGTAACAGTTGCAAGCAAATAATATTAGCATACATGGTTTCAATTTAACTACAGATAAATCAGATGGAAACCGAAAATATGAACCATCTTTGTATTAAAATTATTTAGTACGAGATGTTAAAATAATCATAGCTTTACCCTGTTGTATTAGTAATTAGATATGGGTTATTAAAGCAACAAAAAAATCAACACAGGATTGAATAAGTGATTATGAGAATCATTGAACATATCGACATCTAGCTAATTCAACACAACTAGACTAAGAACAACCAATTTTTTAAGCAAAACAAGCATAAATTTCAGTTAAGAGGGAATGTTTATTCTTAAAAGCAATGTAAGGTATTGGAATAGGCCATAGAAACTGATATAATAGCAAGAAAAAAAGTCATTCAATTTTTTAATTATAAGTGGAATACTTCACCTCATTTACATGAAAATTTTAATACAATCCACAAATTCATCATATACTTAATAAAACTTCAAGAATCATCCCATAAAGCACGAAAAATTTGCTAGTAATTTAAATTCGGCCTGAGAGATAATTTTTTAATATCTATATAGAGCAGTGAAAACTATTGAGTTAGTAATAAAGGTCAATTTTAAATTTTACTCCCTATGGAAACACAAAAAGTTTACTATGCCTTTTCAACAATCAGGCTATGACAGAAGCCATGCATGCACAAAAGTTTTTATTATTGTAGTCAAACTTTTACAAACTGGGGAGTCGAAGTCAAAATTGTTTTAACCCAGAGTCTGAAATCTATTGTGGTATTTCCCAGCCGCATGAATGCTTCCCTTGCCTCTAATTTATAGACGGTCAATACAGTTTTTCATGAAGTGTCATATTTTCTAATGATGAATTTCTGAAAGTACAGGCAATATATAATAAGTCTGGTATTAACATTCTTTTATATTCAGTATTATATTAATAATGTATTTATTGAAAAAAAATGTAGATTATATGTGAAAGCAAAAAAACAACAGAAAAATTCGCTTGAAATACCATGAAACTTAACAATAACACAAAATAATTACTGTTTTGCTACACGGAGCTAAGGTAAAGATGACAATGACTTATTTCACAGAGGGTCGTGGTGGATTAAACACGGTGAACAAAATACATCTGATTGGAAGCTAAAAAAAAAAGTGAACTATACGTAGGTACTGACACTAAACCTATGTCAATGCATTCACGTGATAAGATATTATCTATATAAAGTATTCTGTTAATATCCCCTAATAAATAAATTTTAAGTTCAAAACTACTTAAATATGGCTTTTAGGGCCCAACTAATTGATATGAAGCATGCTAATCCAAAAGCTACACTTGATATTGAACAGATAAATTTCAAGCCTCCATATGTAGAATGGTAAATCTAAGAGAAGAACAATATATACAAACAAATGATGAGAAAATACTAATGAACTGGAATTTCTAACCATGGTATGGTTATACAGAACAATAAGTTCTTTTTGTTTTAGAACATTCATATGATTTACCTGATGATCAATGGTTTTATTAGAAACAATTTAAGGTTCCATTTTGCTTTCATTCTGGTATTAGGATAGTATAGGTGATGGATTTCTTATGCAAATTATTCCCAAAATTGAAATGAAACAGACTACTCATACATTTCTTCTATAATTTTTGTTTCGATGTAACTTAAGTTTAAAGATAACATGTGTATCCAAGTAATACTAATAAGTATACTTTCATTCTAATATTAGAGTCAAACAAAGACTTTTTACCAAATTGCTGACTGAATCACATCATGCACGTTTAAAATAAACCCTTGTTTTATAAAAGGCAAAAGTGAGAATGACGCAATTTTTGAATTTATTCCCATAACAGTCATAAATGAAGAGGTTAGTGTTAGATAACTAACACTCAACAGAAGACAATCCAGAAAGCTTCCACATAATAAAAGCATAAATGAATCATGTAATCAGAGCTAATGTAATTGCGGACTTGCTGAATAAATTCATAAAATTGGCAAGGCATTAGCATCAGGTATATTTGCACACCTCACCTATGATTCGAGGCCTTCTCTATATATAAGGGAAAACATAAGTTAAATTTAATAAACAAGAAGCAAGTAAGAACAAAAATGTCGTGTCACATAAACACACACCACCCACTTCTAAAAAATGTCAAAATCCTTTGAAAAACGCCAAGCGTTTTTCAGATTCTCACTTTTCAATACTTAAATGATATAGATCACTGGTCAAAAATATTTTTGGTGACCAAACATAATTAGGAAAATGGATCAGGCTTAGGCAACTGTATACTAAGGATGCACATAGGATATAATTAGTGATGGGATTCAAAAGTTTCTCATTTGTTTTGAACTCACTAACAACATATTTCCTCATTTCAGAAAACCATATCGTTTTAAAGCAAATGTTTCGATGATTATCAAGACATTCCAGGAGCCCCGTCTGTGAACGATTGAATTCCATAATTGGATATAATTGTCACACAAACATCGGGGCAATTTAATTTCGAAGCAGCACATTTAATACACTTCTTTTTTAATCTAATCACTAATCAATACATGATTTTAGTACTACCGCAAAACGTAAGCAAACTGATATTTCTACAAGCGATATTAATTACAATCAAGTTTTTCTAATCGTGTAGTTCTATTCTATGTTTGGAAGAAGAATACAATAAAATTTAAACACATGTTCCGTCAGCAGCATTGTCATCAGTGTTGATTGTCATTTGAGAATTTTCCTGAAAGTAAAAACAGAAGCCATTAACAACCAACATCAATTTTTCTTGTCAAATACAACATTTAACACTAAAAAAATGGGGTCATATTTTGAATAGCAATAATTGAACGACATTAAGAATCAATAAATAAAATATTTATTTTTCAAAATCTGCTCTTTGAGAAACTGGAAAAGATGTTTTCTGTTAAAATAAAAGTATAGACAATGCAGAAATTTTGTAAAAAGATACGAGTAATACAAGCAATATCAGTACGAAGTAAATACAGAATAAATGAATCAACTAGGATGAATACAAAATAATTTACCATTTCAATACACCCCGAAATAATATTTTCAAATATGAAATTCGATATTTTTTCTCAATTGCATCATGCTCAACAGAGAAATCACATAAAGCATCGTATATTTGTGTAGGGGGTACTCATTGCAGTGCAAAAAAAGACTAGATGGGTGTCGTTTCAGCTCTAAGTTTTATATAGAAAATAACCCTTTGCCTGGCCATCAAATGCCAATTAAGCAAATCAAATGAAGATATTCTAAACTAGTACTTGAGTTGCAAAATAACGTGATCGAACACAACTAGTTTCAAACATATTTGAATATTCAACTGTGTGAGTAGAGGATATGTCAGAACCACATTACCTATGTTAGTTTGAAGCTCAGTTTTAAATTAGCTTAAAACCAACTACAATCAGGTTATCAACGATTTTAAGTATAGTGGTATTATTGCTCAGTCTGATACAGGTGACCTCATTGATGCAAAAGTGTTGTCAAAAATTATTTTAAGAAATTCTATTGCTTCTTTGCATTCAATTGAAGTAAAAAACATTCAAATGAAATGCTCAATACGATACTAAAATCCACAATATGATTTTAAAATGTAGCCGGTGAACTTTGAGAAGCAAGAAATGTAAAGACATTACCGAGTTCTGGCTTTCTATATGGGAATATGCATTTCTCCCTGGTCAGTCATGATTTACTTAAAATGTGCAGCAAAATTGCTATTAGTTTAAAACAGATCACAAAAATGCAAAAATCTTCAATTATTGCAATGGGTTAACATTATTGCTAAAAAATACAAGAAAATTTGGTTGAAAAATACTAAAATAAAAATGTACAAAATTATCTCTTGAGTTGAAATCTCACCGACCAGTTTAAAAATGATCTAAAATTAATGATTTCATGCAAATTGCTACAAAACTATATTAATCAGCTATGTTATCAAAGC